ATACAATATATTAAATATAAACTCTCTCAGATCTACTTCAATAATCAATAATGACACAACAGAAAGCATTTGGCAGTCTTCGGACTATTGTTACATACCCGAAAGTAAAATATACAATAAAAAATAACACACTTTCAAACAGCACAAACAACTGAGTAAAATGTCTCTGTCAATATTTTTTTTATATTCAAACTCTGAATATTATTACTATGGTTGTGTCTTTCTAATTCAACATCAGCCTTATTCAGATACTGTTTTAAGCATTGCTAGAGCTAATTATCGAATATCTTTTTGAAATTGATCGTAATGCCAATAAAAAAGTTTTTTGTTTCTTGTCCCTTCCCCCACCTCATCCACTAAACAGAGGGTAGGTATATAGTAATTTTCTTATAATATGCATCATTACATGTATATATATTTATATTTTTGTATACAATTTTTCTTAAACATATACATTACATATTGTAAATTGAAAATTCTGAAAAAGAATACAAATAGTCCAGGGTTGGTAATTAAAAGATGGCAGGAAAAGGTACCCACGACAAAACTATTTTTGGGGGGCCTGAAATGCATATATAGAGGTAGTCTCGAAATCCTGTAAAAACATGTATGTGGAGAACATTCTTTTTGTTCAATTCGAACACTTTTAAGTACTGGCCAACACAAAGATTACCTCTTTTCCATTTGTATCTTAAAAAATAATAAGCAGGTAGTAAGTACAGACTATAAAACTCTAATTCAATATAGGCAGTAAATAAAAACTTAAAACACCATAATATTCAGACGATAATTTTTTAAAGAATAAGACTTTCCCAGATTTGGTAAAAACAATTGTGGAGAATGTGAAGAAGACTAGGAATTAGTTTTACTGAAATCTTGAAATCTTGAATCTCATGAACAAATATATTCATTAACAAATCAGCTCAGATAAATAGTAGTTTTCTTTAAGAAAATATCAGATTAAAAGTAGTTTTTTTAAGAAAATAAAACACACACACACTTCATATACGTTGTATATACAGCAAAAAGAAATCTTAAAAAATACTATCTATGATTTATTGCTTTATTTTCTATCAAATCAAATAAAAAATCTATATCTGTATTATGTACAGTGTGCATTTTAAAACTACCCTCAGGTTTCCTCTCATTTCTTCAACTTGTATAAAAACTGAGAAAATTAGAAGAGTAAAATCATGCTATGTCTTATGTCACATTAAGTGGCTTTATCAAACTTATTATTAACCCTAACTCTCCTAAATTTCTTAAATGGACTTCTCCATCTTCCTTTTTTTGATCTTTCCATTATAAATTTTGGGGATTTAAAATAGTTAGTCCAAGGTAGTGTTTGGTCAGACAGCACACATATGTGACCAACATGATCTTATACCGATGGCAAAGGCTAAATTCTTTCCCTTCCTGCAGGTTGAGGGTCAATTATCAACATTTTTTTCTCTCTAAAAATAAATCTTTTAAAACAACTTACTCAGAAAATGGCACAAATCTTTTAATTGGTTGTCATTATAACAACTGGTTGTGAAAAATTCATCATACAATAAACCTTTTCAAAGAAAATGGCTAGAAACATACCTGACCAAATAAAATAACACTCCAGACCACTTTCACATGAAGTCAAAATGTAATTAAAACAGTATCTTGGTGCTCTGAGAGTATCTTGCTAAACACATACATGAACAATGCACATAACCTTTTGTCATCTATACATACCTACTTACAAATGAAATGTATATAGATATATAATGATCATTTATACTTTATATTTACTAGGGATGGCAACGAATACCAAAATCAATACTCGAGTACTCGGTCATTTTTCCGATCGAGTACTCGGTTACTCGGATGATTTCCAATGTTCTTTAAAGTTTATCACATAATATCAACACCGTCTGCATGCCACTTTCGTTTTCTATTTTAATTCATGGAATTCGTAACTATAAATAGGACTTCAAGAAATACATATATAAATATAAACATAAGAAATGTCAATGACAGCATTTATTATATACCTAAACATTTTCTCCCTAAAATACAGGATGAACTTGAAGCGCATATACACTTCAACAGTGAGAAAATTCCGTATTATGTAAGTGACAAATACTGTACCATATATGGAAGTGCCGGACTACTTTTGACGTTGGTTCCGATCTTAGCTGTGTATAAACGTAGCATTTGGAAACGGAAACCAAAATTATAAAAGGCGTGGCAGGTTTAGCAAAAATTACGTATTCATCCGTCGGTCATAAATTTATTTCTTGACAGCTACATTTCATTTTCTGAAATTTCTTATAGAAGTGTAGTATAATGAAAATCATTTATAATTCAAACGAAAGGGCATATAATAAAAGGAAAATTATGTTGTAGCCTATGCATTTTTCTACTCGCAATGTTGGAAAATTGATATTTCGCTCGACCTTCGGTCTCGTGAGATATCAATTCTTCCACCGCTGCTCGTAGCAAAATACAAAGCTACAGCATAATATTCCGTATATATTTACGTTTTTATAATTAAAAAGTTTTGACTACAAACTGTCTAATATTCAAAGATGATTAAATATCATAAGAGGCCGAATGACGTAAACGACACAGGACTGTGTTTAATCCCATACGCGTGTCGAACTGCTGATCGCCTCGTTAAACTTACGATAACATTTTCACACCTCTGCAAGGATGTTTTGATTGCACTTAACAAGTATTTATACAGATACGTGTACATTTCCGAATTTCTGAACTAATCTTTCTAAATCGCAAAAAAGTAGAAATTGAATATTTTTTTCCCGAGTAATCGAATATCAATTTTGTTAACCGATATTCGGACGTTCGATCGAGTACTCGGTTAACCGGTTACTCGTTGCCATCCCTAATATTTACTATTATCATCATGCGTTAACAATATTGTTAGATAATTGCAGAAGACATGCCTTTCACTATTCTAATGAAGCCCATACTGTCTTTTCTTAAGAAAAATACACATTTGTTGCCATTTCTTCATTATTCATTCACATACCAATTATTCATTTACATAATCACATACCCATTATTCATTAACATAGTTCACATACCCATTATTCATTTACATATTTCACTAACCTGCTTTTCTTTCACATAATTAACATAGCCAATACTAACAAATGTTATCAATTTTTCTTTCTTCAGATGTTCTTTTATATTGAAACCAAATTCCACAATCAGTTTTTAAATCCAAGCCTTTTTTTTACGTACCTTTACCCTATGGCAACTTTATCAGCATTTAAATGGAAAAAAAAACATTAACAAAATATAACTATTCTTAAACCTAAATCTTCTAAATCTAATTTCATAAACACTGCTAATAAATGCATTTAATACATCTCTACATGTATATTTCTATCACCTCACACTGAAGCTAATTCAAGATGATTTCATTCAAAATTCAATAATCTGTATATATTCAGGCTTACACAGAACTGCAACCAACGTTCACAATTCCATTCCAATGAAAAACTTACAACTACAACTCAAGCTTTTTGCAACAGCTCGAACATTTTTATATATAAACTCAATTCATGATAATATATATAACAAGAACTGTCGGAGGACAGTAACGCTCGACTATTCGAAAATTTGTCACAAGGGTGTTTCATTGAGTATAATAATGCTAACCTATATGAATACATAAAATTGTCCAAAAAGTTTCAATACAATCACAGAGAACAAGTGTGTGAAGTTTCAATCCATTCCCTTCAGTAGTTATGGAGATACCAGCTTACACACAAAAACTTAACCAAGAATTTATGAATCGTAAAAGGGGCATAATTATGCGAAAAAGTAAATCAGAGTTATGCCACTTGTGCCAATCATCTTAAATAATCACAGACAACAAGAGTGTGAAGTTTCAATCCATTCCCTTCAATAGTTATGGAGATACCAGCTTACACGCATAAAACTTAACCAAGAATTTCTAAGTCAAAAAGGGGCATAATTTTGCAAAAAAGCATATCAGAGTTATGGGACTTGTGCCAATCATCTAAGATAATCACAGAGACCAAGTGTGTGAAGTTTCAATCCATTCCCTTCAGTAGTTATGGAGATACCAGCTTACACACAAAAACTTAACCAAGAATTTCTAAGTCGAAAAAGGGGCAATATTATGCAAAAAAGCAAATCAGAGTTATGGGACTTGTGCCAATCATCTTAGATAATCACAGAGAACAAGTGTGTGAAGTTTCAATCCATTCCCTTCAGTAGTTATGGAGATACCAGCTTACATACAAAAACTTAACCAAGAATTTCTAAGTTGAAAAAGGGGCATAATTATGTAAAAAAGCAAATCAGCTTACCAGCTTACATACAAAAACTTAACCACAGGGACGCCGACAAATGGGTGACTGCATTAGCTCGATTATTCTGCGAATAGTCGAGCTAATAACTACATTTTCAAGCTTTACAATAAGCGTTGTTATCACCAATCTCAATAATGACTTTTTTATCTGTTGCAGCAAATATTTTATTTACCTAATAGTAATCATGCTATCATAACAAAAGTCTTAATGAAAGCTAGATACATGATTATTTTTTTAATATTTACTTGCAGAACATTCTAAGTAGCCATGACTTTTATATCTCATCTGGTTTATTCAATTAACACTTCGATCCCATGGTATCTGGTTTATTCAATTAACACTTTGATCCCATGGTATCTGGTTTATTCAAGAAATATTCGATCCCATCGTATCTGGTTTATTCAATTAACTCTTCGATCCCATGGTATCTGGTTTATTTAAATAACACTTCAATCCCATGGTTTCAGGTTTATTCAATTAACACTTAGATCCCATGGTTTCTGGTTTATTCAATTAACACTTCGATCCCATGGTATCTGGTTTATTCAATTAACACTTCGATCCCATGGTATCTGGTTTATTCAATTTACACTTAGATCCCACGGTTTCTGGTTTATTCAATTAACACTTGGATCCCATGGTTTCTGGTTTATTCAATTAACACTTCGATCCCATGGTTTCTAGTTTATTCAATTAACACTTGGATCCCATGGTTTCTGGTTCCTTCAATTAACACTTCGATCCCATGGTTTCTGAACCGTTCACTAGATGGGTTGTCTCATCATCAGCCTCATTCTCAATGGCCAACACTTCCTCAAAGGTCATTCTAGCCTGACTACCACCTCGCTTTAACTTGATTAAGTTAGAGATCTTTATCCAGTGCTGCTTGTTCTCTTCAACCCTATCTCCTACCTCCTTTGCTGGACTAAACAGCTTTCCTAATAACCTGTTTAGAAAAATGTATATCATATTTATGGACAAATTCTTTTTAAATACATGCACTATCATAAATTTCACATTTAATTTGGCAGCTTTATGTAAATATATCCAGCCCTCTCTAAGAGATGTTGGGAAATAACCTTTTAAAAACTAAAATCACTAACTCCCGACTTTCACAGTAGATTTGATCCTTATCTGTTCTATACTTTAAAACTGATACTATCACATTATTTTCTATCTTTTGCTAAGTATATCCACCTATTTTAAATTTTCAAAAAAAATAAAATATTTGAGATGATAATATTCTTGAACCCGCCCTCATAAGTATGTAAACTCATGCTGAAATTATAATGGTCATATGGTGTCTTCCAACCTTTACCAAATTGACAGCAGACCTCACATGCCCCTTCATATGATATGTTAGACTAAAAGACAAACTTCCTTGCATGAAAAATATCCAATGTCTATACCAACATTGCTGATACTTACACATAAACAGGTAAAGCAACATGGTCCAGGAAGCTGATTTGCAGGGCAGGTATCTGAGCCCTTTCTCTGTCCATCATGTCACTTGGTTCAAGACCCTTTGCTTTCTCCATATCACCCTGAGAGAAAAACTCTTTATAAATCAGTGCCTGAAAAATAGTAGAGTGTATAATATTAAATCAAAGTAAAATTGTCTTATAAATCAATGCCTGAAAAAAAGAACAATATTCAACCAATGTAAGTGCTTAATGGAATAGTGCTTATAATGGCAACTTTCAGCGTTTTTTTTCTTCTCTACCTTGGGTGGGAATGGTGCCGGTACCAGACTGATTGGGAAAAAATGCATTATTTTGATTTACATTGGGATTTTTTTTTAATGCATTTTTTCAGCTACAAATAAGATTAGTCATCATGAATAAAGATAGCACAAATTTAAGAGGTAAAAGTTAAATGAGATAGCAAGTCAGAATTGTTGAAAATTGATAATATACATACTGCCACTCTCTTTGTATTTTCCCATGGCCTTGTCTGGTCCGACAAATCACATGAAGTCATCAGCAGACATAGCAGTAACTTTCTTTCCTTCACAGAGGTCTTATCAATACCCCCTGAAATAAATCTCATTGTTTTCAAAATGTATGAAAACTAATGATTTCCTTTATTTAAAGCTGTTTGTTCTTTTTAATCTTTTTGTCAAAAATCTTACTTTAATAATAATAATAATAATAAAGACTTTATTTAAAGAGGCAACATACATGTAGTTATGCAAGCCCAGTCTTCCCTATGAGCCTCTAATGTTAACAGTGTTAACACTGCATTTAAAGGCGAGTTAAAAAATATACAAATAAATATGTAACATAGCAGACTTTTTTCCAATGGAACTGTCACAGAGAAACTAGCCTAAGTGATTATTAACAACAAAGTATGGAGAATTTTTTTTACTGTAACAGAGCTTCCTTTCTTTCTTATAACCTCTGAGTGTAAGAGACAATAAGGCATTGCCTACAGTAAAGTCAGCCTGCACTTTGACCCGGATTCTTAAACTGTTTGTTTGCTGATCAATATAAAGCATTTGGAGATGAATGCAAATACACTCTTCAGGTTCACAATAGTACTTACTTTCAGCTAAGTCTTTAAGATTTTTAAGTATTTTAAAATGATGAGCCAGATCAGTGGCCAATATGATTTCTCTCATCAAATCTAGAACATGTTGGTAATCCTGAAAAGACAACAAATGAATTTAAAGCAGTAGCATGCCTTCAAATGCAAGTCATTTTATGAAGACTTTGGTTTTGAATAGTATAGAAAATTTTAATTATATACAAATAAAGAAGACTTTAACTAGCCCATGTTATTATAATTAATAACAAAAATTCTATCATGTAGAGAAAGGAAAAACTAGCTCATACTCTTTAAGTATAAGAAATGCTTACAAATGCTTCAAAGGAAGCAAATTCAGATTATTTTGCTTAAACATACAAAGCTTTGATGGGGTTTAAGCTTTCAAATACCTATCAATACATACATTTAAGCTATGCAATCTAAGATAACATTTTGAGTTAAAGCATTCAAGAAAAGTATCAAGTACGTTCTTAACTCCTTACACTCAGTGTCAAGTTCTAGTTTATGCATTTTAATAAAAAAGAATAATTCTTTATACACAGTACCTTGCTGTTAAGATTCTCAAACACATTGCAACCCTCCGTATTCAGAATACACATTGTCTGTGCAAAATGATGTCTCTAAAATACACAAATGTTCATATACATTTAAAATCATTATATGGCAAAAACAACAATATTTAGTCTAAATGACTACAATTTATAACACCATAACACCGTTTTTGGCTTAGCCTGCTGAATATCCAAAATGGGTTTGTTCAGCTTGAAATTTTTGTTTTTTGGGGGTTCTGTTTTACGGCATAAAAGCACAATTTTAAGTTGGTCAGCCATCAGTATAAACCCTGATGTGCAGTCCGGTCTTCCTGGAGGCAAAGGCTAATCACTTGCAGTTCCAGCAGGTTAAATATTAAAATAGCATACATTCAAACATGATTTTTGTTTGATACCTTAATCTGTATGCATTTAAATCATTTGAATAATATTTGACATGTAACTTTCTGATTTAATAAAAAATTGAATAATTAAAAGAAAATAATTATTACTGCATATTCTATCAAATTTAATACCAAATATGGAAGAAAAAAAATCTGAAAGTCCCTACAACAAATTGTGGTTTACTCTTTTACAGTTTCTTTACTTTTAGCTATGTTTAAGTCAAATTGACACTGGAAAGCTCATAGCGTGATTTCCAAGACTATACTGGTGGTGGAATACCACATGTACCTCACTAAAAATGTATCATTTTCGTAACAAGCCAGTGTCCAAATAAAACCACTGACCTGTTAGCTAAGGCAACATTTTTTTAAAAAGCAACATGTAAGTATTGTACTATTCTCAATAGGCAAGATACAAATCACAAAACAAATAATTTTATAGCAGCAAGCTTAGCACACAAGATAAATTTTCAAAATATAAACACAATAATCATTTAAAACAAAAAATAGCTGTAAAGCTATGATAAAAGAATTGTTATAAAGTCATGAAAAATAACATGTTTTTTAAGATAAGTAAAAAAGAAAATTGCAAAATGTTACATTTTAATCAATGAAAAAAATTTCTTCAAAAAGTTGGTGGATCATAACTCAAAAGAGTACCTCAATGTTTGTAATATGTGTATAATAATAATATATACATTTACATATGTGTTCATGTCCGATTGGATTAAACTAAATTATGCAGGGGAGTATTGTACAGGTAAAACACAAGGAGAAAAATTAACAAGAATGTGGCACTCAGAAATATCTGATGTAGTACATCGTACATTTTAAAGTGTTAAAAATGTTGTGCCTTTTTAAAAATAAATTTGGTACCATATTTATAAAAAAAAATGAAATATTAATACAGAATAAATCTATCATGTTAAAATACTGCTCTAAATAAAGATATGTTCCATGCTCCAGCTTCTTAAAACAATACTGTTATATTCCCAGAAGAAAGTTGATACTTTGTTACCAAATTTGTATTAATTAGAAATTTTAGTGTTTTTTTTTTTTATCTTATTCTAAAATTATTATCAAGGTCAAGAGTAGAATTTGTGTAATAAAGATGAAGTAATAAAAAGGAATGGTTAACAGCATGTTATTTGTTATTTTTACAATTACGATGACTATAAAATGTTATTGAATTGCCAAGAAACATAACTGGACCAGTTATTTTCTTTATTTTAATAATACTGATTACCTCCCATACATGACATGTTTTCCATTTGCTAATTATTTTATATATTTTTTTGCCAAAAATTGTACTTAAAGTGGCATTATGCCCTCCCATGGGTAGATAAAGAGTGAACAGGTCAAAGTCAATAAAAGTTAACATTTTCTCATAATTCTTTTCAATTTTATAATTTACTTAACATGAATGATAAATAACTCACTACACCTGTGAAAAGTGTGTAAATTATCCGTCGTATCTGTAACTTTCAATTTATAAAAAGAATGGGACAGTCTTTTTATATATTTATGTAGATTTATTTCTTCCCCTTAATATTTCCAATATCATGTGTTAGTCAATCACCATTATAACGACCAGTTTTTTGAAAAATATAGACAATTAAAGTCAATTCGACAATTAAAAAATAAGCATAATGTCAATTACATGAAAAGATAAACAATAAATTGAAATTATTTAGCAATTAAAATATTTCAGTTGCATTAAAAAATCTTTCAGAAGAAAAAAAAGTCCACACAGCAAATATCTCTTTGCAAAATGATGGAATGGTAAGTGAATATGCTTTGTAAGGTTATGTAGCAAGACAAAGGGAGACAATGGACCAAGGAATTATAGAATAAAATAACATATCTGAAAGAAAAAAAAAATAAACAAGCAAAATTCAGCCCACTTGTTAACATGTGAACACCTTACCTCCAAGACCGATCCTTCAGAACTATATAAGGCAGCAAGAACTGATTTCTGAAAAAAAGATTAATTCTTACAATTACCATGTGTCTTAAAATAGATTGATTGGTAAAAGGTTAATCTCACCTCCAATACGGATTCTTCAGAACTATATAAAGCTGCAAGTACTGAACTCTGAAAGTAGATTCAATTAAAATCAAATTATCTCAATCATATATTTATTTTAATAAATATTTAATTATTTCACAAAAAGAATCTTCCTTTGATATTTTGTCAACTATATAAACTGATTGATCATGGCAACTTCTGGATATGGTTGGAGCTATGAATAACTACATGTATATTGAGGTTTCAGTTGTTATATATGGGTTTTAAACATGCTATGTGAGTATATATTAATAAACAAGTAACCCTTAACCATCCAAGTACAGGTTAACACTCACATGATTGCTATATAATGGATAATGAAGGTGTCCTTTAAACTTGGAATAGCCCATTCCCATTTTGAGGCATTTTGATATCATAATATTGTTTAAAAAAATCAAGATACTAGTTTATGCTTTAATAGGTCTTCATCAGAAATGAAAATCAACAATATACAAAAATGATGTGACATCCATTTTGATGGTAATGTCAACATGACATTTAGCGTACATTATAAAATATATCATAATATTGAAACTGAGAAGCCGGCAACATAAGTCTAGTCAGAGTTTGCAACTGACTCAAATATGGTTGGATAGGCAAGTTATTTCCATCACTAATATTCAGAGTTTAAACAAACATTAATATCACTTTCCAATAAACGTCATCCATGTTATACCAGACCATTAAAGCTATTAAATCTAATATACCATTAAAAATCAATTACTTCTAAAAGCTATTAATTTGTCACAGATTTTACAGATACAAATCACATATGTACAATTTCACATGTGTTAACTACCAGCCAATTAAGTCCAAATTAAGTGCTGTACATTAAACAGACATGGCACATCATTAGAAGCAACACATTATACATGATTATCAGCAAAATCACCATGAAAGATTTATACATAGACTTGTTTCTCAAGGAGACAATATTTGAAGCACATAAAAAGCTTGTTAGATTGAAATTTAAAGGGTTAACAAGTGTTAACTGGTATTGCATTTCAAAGGCTTGTTTTTACTACATGTATTATTGAATAGTTCATACAAGATTCAACAGTTTGCATTTAGCCATTGGTATTTGAATATAAGAATCATTGCTACCTTTTTTTGCTTGCCTGAGGAAAGAACGATTTTAATATGGTTACTATGGTAATTTGTTATACATGCTTCATTTTATTTAGTTATTATTTTAAACTGTCCTCATCAAGCGTGCAATAGCATTAACTATAAACTAGCTTTACTAAGGAAATACTTCCACCTTTGCTCTTTTACTTTTTCAACTTCTCCATTGCAAACGTATTCTTAAGTAAGTCATTAGCAAACTGTTCTGACCTAATTTTGTTATTAATTGAAAAGAATGCTATGAGCAAAAAGAACCCTGAATAGTCTTTCTTTTTCATTAAGCTGATTTTTCTTACCTCAACAGTCCTATTTATCAAAATAATTGTATAAATCTATATCAAATGAGATTGTTTCAGGTAAGAGTCGGGGGGAAAACTATTACAAATTACTTAAATCTTCCATTTTTTAAACTTCCAACAGAAATTGATTATTTGGTTAATTTTTACACCGATTTCAATACATGCTATGATCTACACCCAAACTCCATGGCACAGGTCATTATGGAAACTAGCAATATAAATCATACTAACAAGGTATATACATAAATGTATATATATGCATATTGTGTAGGTAAAAAATTAGGTATGGGGAGGACACAAACGCATCTCATTCAATGTTAATTCTGTCTAATCTACAGTTATATATGGTGAAATAAGGAGCTTACAGAAGCAGTCTGGAAGGAATTGTTGGTTCCTCTGTGATCAATGTCATGGCACAAACACGACACAAATAATGAAAACAACTCTATATCACTGAAATAAACAAAAACAGAAAAACCATTGGAACAATTCATTACGTAATTATGATATATCTTAAATACACATCTAAACAATCATTTCATACTTTTCCGATTCTGCCTATTTGTAACCTGTAAAGGGGAAAGTAAAACTCTGTAGTTTAATATTATCTACTTCTACAACAAAATGGGTAACAAAAAGATGTGTAAATTTTTAAAATTTACACCAGCTGAAAAATCAGAAAATAAAGAAATAACCAGAGTCTTAACATTTAGTTAACCTCACAAGTTTGATAATTTCTTTCACTTTAAGTTTGTATAAGTAAATTCTGCTGTATTGCGTGAATCATCCTTGACCAACCTGCATATGTGTAATGGAATGGTCCTGCCTAGAATTTGGAACTATCCATTGTTAATTTAGGGGATTTCATAAAATGATGCTGCCAAAGTATTGAGTTTGGACAAGAAAGCAGTTACTGTACAAATTTACAGTTTGTTTGCTGGTTTTTAAGTCACATTGATACTGTAATGATTTAATGGTGACTTTCAAGTTTTACTTGTATTAGAAAACTTCATGTGACCCTTCATGCATGATTTCAGGCACAAGCAAGCACCTGGGAACAACAACAGATCTTCTGTTAGCCAGATGGATAGCTTTCTAACATAAAAGAAACTATGACAGAATCGGCCTGGCGCAACACTGGGTAGCATCAACAAGTCATTACTACATCTGGTGTTTGGATACTTCAAAGATGTGTTCTAAGTAGCTTTCATTCAAATTAATTGTCTTCATACAGACTTCCTTTCTTGTTGTCTCTCTTTAAATCGAAGCAGTGTCATAAATATCAATTATTTCTGTTGGGAATTTCTGCTGCCATAATTATATAATTACACCATTTATCACATATATTATATTAAATAGATAAAGCAAACAATGCCAAAAAAAAAGAGAACTAAAACTTTTTGGGTACTATGGAAATGGGATACAATGACACTGCTGTATTGTTGACATGCAAACGATTTAAAATACTGAGAACTAAACGATGGAATTGGACAATGTCCTAAGGGTACAGAAAGAAAAATCTTCACAGAAGCTAGTTCGCAAGACTCAATTTTCCAGAATACCTTGTAACAGTATCATTGTCAAAGTGACTTCTAATAAAACCAAGTATAACGTAAACAACATCATTATACCAGAAAACCTTGAAACACAAACCTAAAATATATAGTTTAATAACCAGAATTTCAATGATCTCAGCTTTAAAATCTTGATTATACAAAACAATAGCTGCCATCAATCACAATTTTCCTTGGGGATAATTATAAAACATTTGATGGATCCATATTGTCTCATTTTCTGAAATCTTACACTTACTCTAGAGTGTTTTCCAGTTTCAGATTTTTGATCAGCTGATAACAGAACTGTGCTACAGTGTAGGCATGCATCCAGTTGTGATATGGTGGATTTCTGTAACCCTTCTTTACCATCAAAACAAATCTGTTAAATAAACAATAATACATGTCATGATGTAATAATAATTCATCTTTGTTATTCTGTTTGGTTAAAGTCATATCAACATTGTTCAGGTCATACAGCACTTTTCATACTTAATTGGAGGGAGATGAACTAAGAAGCCCCTCTGTGCAGGCAATAATATTCCAGGCAAGAGTGAGCATCTGTAGGACAATTGAGGTTCCAAACACAAGAGAATTCTATGTCCCTGGCAGGATTCAAACCCACACCAGTTGGGGTTGAGTGGTATGATGTCAGCAAATTAAAACTTGCTAGTGTGTTTAACCATTACCGTGTCAGGCTATATTTGTTTTTATTTTTCCCTTTAACCCTTTCCCTTCTAAACTGCTGCAATGGACTTGCCTTAATTTATATGTGGGACATTCGTTACATTATCATACAAGGCTTTTTTCTTGGAAAAACTTTTGACTGACAGGCCAGAACTGTTGCCATTTCAGTCTGATCCTGGCTCTCTATATTTTGTGAATATCTAGACCCTAAACACAAGAATAGTCAACCCTGTTAAATTTCAATTTTGAAAAAGAAAGTAACAAATCTCTAAATTAGAAAACGCCTTAAAAAATACCACAATAAAAAAATCTTATAACAAAAAGCTTCCCTTCATCTGCACATACCCCAGAATCTTCATTACATATTTTTAAAGAAGTTTATATAAATACTTCATTTCAACTGACCTTGCTATAGTCTCTCTTCTAATTCTCCATCTTGATATAAGATTCAAATCTTCAAACATTGATAAACAAGCCTGTAATAAACAAAAGTTCTCTCATGATTATCCTTAAAAAAACTAATCAAGAAATAAAATGAGCCGCGTCACGACAAAACCAACATAATGGGTTTGCGACCAGCATGGATCCAGACCAGCCTGCGCATCCGCGCAGTCTGATCAGGATCCATGCTGTTCGCTTACCAACTCTATTACAAGTAGAGAAACTGATAGCAAACAGCATGGATCCTGATCCCACTCCGCGGATGGGCAGGCTGGTCTGGATCATTGCTGGTCGCAAACCCATTATGTTGGTTTTGTTGTGACACAGCTCAAATATTCATTCCAAATTAATATAGCTAGTGATTTGTTTGCTTTTTGTTTTGTTTTTCTTTTTTTATTTTACAATAATAATCAGACATTTGAGTCTTATTAAGAAACTTAGATTAATTCTACATAATTCAAATAAGAAATGACAAGATAAAAACAAAAATCAAGGACATGAAACGTAGAAGGAAATTCTGGTTAATTGAAGTGGTTTTTATAATGTTGATCAGTTTAAAGTACATGATGCCATAGAAATCAGGTTTTATCTTCTCATAAAGACTCATTAAGCTTTACATTTGGTTACCTTATTTATCAAGTCTCAAAAGCTTAGTTTCTGAAATGGTACTCATTGGTCATAAGAGTTAACTATCCTTTGCTATTTTAGTAATTAAGTGAACCATGAACCACATGGCAACACATATAAGCCTCTGCTAGCATTCAAGTATGCAAACCAGATGCCTTCTACGGAAAAGTTTGAATTTTTGCAAAGGTGGTTAACAACTATGATGGACACTTATACTATACAAAGTGTATAATGTGGCTCAGACCTTAAATTCAAATGTTGACTTACTAAAAGTGTTTTGTCCTCCAGTAGACTTCTAGGTGCGTAGGAAAACTCTATAAAGTTGGCATGAAGCATTCGTGGATGGGGTATATCTACTGTTGCTAGACCGTGAACATCATCTGGACTCACCTATTGTTATGAATAACAATGCATGAATATTCAAAATATCAAAAAATATGTATTGTAAAATAAAAAAGTCCTTATAATAAAAGAAGTTCAGAACTGACACATGTATTATAGTTATAAGTTATATGCTTATATGTTTTACATTGTAAATCATAACTGTGGTAAATATTATATAAAAAAAAAAACATTATTATTAAATATTAAATATAATTATTAACAGTAAACACTTAAATACTGTTTGGTCTGACAGTTATAAAATTGCATTTCCTGTAACATGTAAAGAAATGTTCTACAACTTGTTGACTGTTTATGAGAATACAGTTACACTTTTGCTGAGCAACACCTTTGGGAGACAAATGAATTGGTTGTGGTTAAACTTCTTGTTTGATGTCTTATTTTGGTAAGAATTGAAAGTGTTATTGTAAAGAGTGTATTGCTCTATAGACTGCTGTTATGCAACAGTTGCACTGTATTACTGGCTGCTCTGCCAAAATTTAACTGTATTTCTGGTATCTACCATACAAATCATAATTATATCTCATAGATGTAACTTTACCTTTCACAATTCTATATTTTTATCCTTAAATTTTCCTTTTATGAATTCAAATTAATTCTTTGTAATTATTTTAAAGGATTTCAATATCAAAAGGTCAAATTAACAGCAAGTTCTGGCAGCACAGGTGTACCAGCTGGCCTTGTGTATTCCTGATGACAAAGGCAAATCAATATTGCCATAAAGTATTTCAAACCCTTCTACCGTTGTATGGAGAAGCTAACTTAAAGCAAGTATCAAACAGTCATCTATTTTAATGTCAAAAGACATATAAAATGAGACATCCCTCAGTATGAAGTTGTTTAACAAACATTTCCAAGCTAAAGTACAAGTCTTCTATTAAAAACATTTAGCAATCTATTTCACCACTTCAATAGCCAGTTCATTCAGGAATAAATGGTTTCCAAAAAAAAAAATCTGACTATCTTATTTGTTTTATCAGAAATAGTACATTAACTGCTTTTTGAAGTTTGTCTTTAAGAATTTTTTTCAAAATCAAGAGAACCATACTTGCCAGTGAAATGAAAGGGGAACAAATAATCTTAATGTAAATCTTCTAAGATTCATAGAAACATTAAAAGGCATTGGTAATTTAATTTACATTTGTACTTTACAAGGCTACGTCCTTCTCCTGAAACTGTTTTATGACATGCTGTGTGGGAGAACTGCACTTTCTCCTCTTTGAGTAAAATTATCATACTTTCTATATAGTATTTAAGTGCTAATTAATGTTAATTTGGTACTTACACAAATTAAGTTAAAGGTCATGCAAGGTTTAGGATTAAAACAATTTCACTTCAGAGTTACTTAGAGTTGACACTTATTGTTATATATGATATAATTCATAATCATCTTAACAATAGATTTACAATATTCAATATCTAACCTAAAACCTAAAATTATATTCTTTCAAGGGAATATTAAATGTTAAAAATCCTATGTAGTTTAACTAATTTTTCTATAAAAATTTCCATAAAAATCATCAAAGCTGCTACCAACACTATATATTTGTGTATCAATTCCTGTGTAATGATGACATCACTGAATGCACAGTTAGGTCATTTCCAAAATATGTAAAATATTAAATGAAGTGTTATCAACTATTATTTAAGAACTTGACGAAACTGGCCTTTTGACCATACTGAACAAATAATTATAAGTTACCATAAGAGATTACAGTTCCATCCTCTTTGATTTCTCTATGAACTCTTTGGTAATACATGTATAATATATATATACTAATTTTCACTTGATAAGGAAAGACCTATGCTCAATGAGTATAAGTTTATTTTTACATGGCAAGTAAAGACCTATATGATAAATGACTACTCATTTGCAAATGGTGAGTAAAGACCTATGATAAACATATAAAATTACCTATGTGTCCAGGTGTAGAAAAAGAAAGTATAGTGAACTATGACAACTTAAAACATAACCTACAGGTGATATGGTTACAAACTATGATACTTTATAAACTAACTGGGGTAAAGTAAAAATATTGTATGAACAAACCTCCATGTGGAACCTTTAAGAACTATTATAAATATAACAACTAACCTGCATGTGGTAAATCATAAGTTCATTTGCTAATGATTTCCTATGCTGTGTATCCAAAAGTTTCTTGTACATTAAACTCTGTAAAATATTAGGGTAAAAAAACAAACACAAATAAAAGCAGGTGCTAAAAGGAACCATGCTTCAGGAGGAGGGTAAAAGGGTATTATGTCAGTTGGAAATAACTCACAAAATATAGAACATGGATGATCTGAAAAGCTGTTTACAGATAAAAACATCAGTGACTTCAACCTAAAAATTTCTATCATATTAAACCTTCCGTTTTTGACAAGTTGTTACTAATGATGCAATACTATTTGCTGCACTGCTCTTATTGATCTAAATTGCAGGACGATAAAAAATTTCAACAATGATTGACAAATCTTTTAACAGAATCTTATTCCTCCATCACATGACTCATTTTGATGTGTTTTCCAGCTTCATTTTACAACATCAAGAAGATTGGATGACAAAAAATGCGTCAGAAAACACAGAAGTTTTCAGCCATCAAATCCGCTCACATGACGTAAAACTTTTTAATTCGCAAGTTTTAACGTAATCAGCTTTTCAGTCATGAAACATTCAGCACACTGTCTTTGTTATTTCTTTTTTCTCTATCTAAATTAACATGAATATATAATACACATGACTTCAGGAAGCTATGTTTCTCTCTTTGTTTGTTTGCTTCTTTGTTTGTTTGTTATTTAGACCGCAGGTTTATTAATTTGTATCTGTTGTACTTCTATGCTGTTGAATTTGTGCACTGGACTCGTCATGCTATAATTGCCAAACTGTTCATTTGACTTTAAGAGAAAACAATATTTAAATAGTCATGAATGATACTGAACAGCCAACAGTAAAGAACCTGGTCAAACAGCATGTAAGCACAGGCTTACCTAGCTCTATAACAGTCCCATTGATCAGTTATGACCATTGCTATGCACTTTCAAAGTCAACAGTGCATCTATTATTATTAAAGTGAAAGTGGTTGCTATTTCATTATCAGTTTCAGTACCAAAGATTTCTATCCCTTATAGTTTTAATTATTAAAACTTAAAATTTCTAAGTGACATTTTGGCTGATAAAGGTTGAAAAAAAAATTCAGCAAATACTTTTATTTTTTCTGATTAAACTCTAAAATTAATATCTGTACAATATTCTTGCAACGTAAAAGACATTACATAAATGTTTGTTAAAAGGGGAATAAAAAAGTTGGATTTCGAAAATCAGATCTCAATGTTAATCAAATAGCCTGCAAAAATTACAGTTTCCAAACTTTAATTCTTCCTGAAGTCATGATTCTATGAAGCAATGCAAAATAAAAATATGACAAAAGCAGCTACGAAGAGAAAATCTGAAAACAATAAGAGATAAATCAGTCTGACTATCATAAAAAGCGACAATAAAGCCATGTTTAATTCAGGAAAATCTCTTCTACAAAACAATTTTGTTTTTATTTCAAGTTTTAATTTCACATGAAATTTGGTTCAAATTCAATATTAAAGGTCTCTTATTCCTACTAATACAAACATTTAATCATTAATAATTATTATTACACTATATCCCTTGAATAACAGGCACTTTACATTGCATTAAAGCAATATTGTATATTAAAATTCCATTGCATGTCCATAATTTTGCACAAGACAATACTTTTTTTATAAACAAAGTTTCAAAACCTATTTAAACATGACTTTACCAATGTTTATCAGGTTAATGATCCATCACTGGCATTTGAAATTATTCATATTCATCTACTTTCTACATCTGACTTACACAGATAAAATATTAATTCATACAAAGAGAAAGGGCAAAAAAACAACATATTGTCAACTTATCACTTTTTTAATAGATTTTAGAAGCAGAATGCTAAAAAAATGGCAAATCTACAAATGGCAGTGATGGATGTAAACCTTAAGATATCATTTTTTTGCATAAAACAAAACATGTGACTATATAGGTACTAACACAAAGGGTGGGTGGGGTACAAAATAAACACGCACACACACACTCTAAATGTGCCTGACCTTCATATGGTACATCATCAGTTCATTGGCTAAACTATTGCGGACCTGTGAGTCTATCACTTTTTTATACATCAGTGACTGAAACACATTCATTCAAGATCAAATATACTGCCAAATTAACGCATCTGTTGCACTGGGCTTCACAAACAAGCAATAGGTTCAAACCCCTCACTCAGGCATATGTAATTTATTTTTTAAGAATAACCATTTTGAGCAACAGTGATGTTTCATTTGTCACTAGCTACCAATCTGTTATAAAGTAATTTACATATTTAGAGTAATAAATTGTAATAACATCAGCAAAAATTTCGCATAATCAGCAATAGCATTTATTGCTCAGATTTTAAATATGTGTACTGTTTTAAACATTTTTTTCCTAAAATTTGAAAGTGTACAACTGTGTTTAGTTTTTTTGTCTGGAGGCATTCAGCCTTAATAAATTACTCATAGATCATTAAGCTTTGTAGCATGGTATACGTTTGTTTAGTTTTAAAACGTGCCTTAAAAATTCTTCCTCACATTGTCTTGTCTATACAGCAAAATGCTATAAATGTCCACTTACATGGCTGATGCTTATACAGCAGTAAATACCGAAGGCAGTAGCTATCTCTTCATCAAACGTTGTAAAACATGGACAATTTTGTTTATTACAAAGCTGGGCTACACCTAGTATTCTCCCTGCAAACAAATAAATATCGTAAAATAGTTTGTTTTATCTCATGCAATAAGATATTAAGTCAGTTTTTACACAATCATAAATTTCCAACCATAGCTTAATTTGACAGAGAACAAATTTTCATAAAAGTTAAAAGACTAGGTATATTCAGGTGTTTTGACAACAACAAAAAAGAAGTGCTACAAATAAAGACTAAATATGCAACAGGTTAAGAAATTAAAACAGTTGATTGAAGTTCCCTTTTGCCTATTTGGTCTATAGAAAGTATTCTATTTTTGCATATCAGACTGAGTTTCGTTAGTTTTTATCCGTAATGTAAATTTTATCTGGAATGGGGGATCTCAGATGAGTCGCATGATTTTAAATGCCCTCATTCTAGCGCATTTTATGAATAAACTGCACTAAAGTAATGTCATTTTGGCACATATTAGAATGAAACTACTTGCCTAGGATGTTGACATTTCCCCGTAATGAAAGTTGAAAATTCATAAGCTATTGTGAAGAAAGTAATTACAGTTCAAATAACATTAATTTCTTAGAAAAAAATATTTCATTGAGGTGTACCATTTAATATATGAAGAATAAGCAAGAAAAAATATCCTTAAGTACCCCCTATGGGTGGCAACTCAGCAAGCTTGTAACCACCAAATGGGTAGGTATCCTCAGGATGGATATTCCCATCTAAACCATAACATATGACAGATATTATTATAAATGCCAAGATTAGCCAAGACTCTGCTGCATATTTGCCTCTTATTCAAGTAACATTCAAAGAACTCCAAATACAAAGCAGAACAAATCCATTTCAAAAATTCTGCAGGATAAGCTTTAAATTGCAGGACAATATGCTCAGAGCATAAATTGGAATTCAAGACAAATAAATTTGTATATAAATTTATATCAGAATGCACCTACACCCATAAATTTAATTTCAAGCTTTTAAGACATGACATAATCCATTTGATATATATATTCATTTCATAAACCGATTTGATTTACTTCAAAACAACATGCAACAGTTTCCCCCAGATATCTAAACAATAAAGAAAAACATGTTAAGGAGCCTATCCTAGATTTTCCAATTTTATTGAAGCATTAAAGAGCTTTAAAAATTTGAGCTTGAAGAATTTTGAACTGTGTAATTTACATACAGGCGAGTGCAATGAGTTTATAACTAGATTTGTTTTGTAAGTTAAATGTGATGCTTCACTATTGTTGTCCAGTACAGACAAGTCTTAGTCTATGTAACCCTTAAACCTTTCGTCAGCTGAACTTTTCTGTAGACTGGCTGATATGTGTTTTGAATTTGCTACAGTCAATTACTAATTTAAAGAATATCAAAATATTACTTGTTGTTCCGTCAACACTTCAAAGCCTGGCCTCGAGGTTATAAAACTTTTTACCAAGTTCTTTCTAAAATCTAAGGATTTTCATTGGTAAATAATAATATCTGTCAAATCAGAATATCTGTCCCAAGGGGGACCCGACCATTGGGCGGTACCGAGGCTTGCGATCTGAACCGCAAACGTATGTCAGATATTTTTTCTTGCATATTTTACCATATTATATCATATTTTAATTTCTCTACCTAAATGAAACATTTTTTTCATGGAAATTAATGTCTTTTCATCTATAAATATATTCTTACCATAGCGAATGAATTCTTAACGGCAAAATGACGTATTCCTAAGCAAGCAGTTTCATTCTTAAATATGCCAAAATGACGTCATTTTAACATGGTTCATTCATAAAATGCACTAAACTGACATCATTATTAATGTAGCATAAGACTCAACTGATTGAAATTTCCGGCATGGGTAAAGAAGTAAATTAGTTTACACCAGTCTGATATGCAAAAATAAATGTTTTGTGCCTGTTTCGGACACACCAGATACTTGTACCTAAAATCTGACTTTAAGCTTATACCTATATAACCTAGGAGGCTTGGTCAGTTTGCACAAGTTACAAACACATTGTTGTTTGAGAATGAGTAGGATAATAAGACATTTATCAATCAAGTATACACTTAAAAGATTGTCAGAATAACTAGAAAAGTACAGCTTCATTACATACCTTTTTCATCTTTGATTGGAAAACATAATATATTTCTGAAATAAAGAAATAACACACACATTAACAAAAATCAAACATACAGTGTAAAGATTGCAAAAAAAAAAGGAGAAAAGACAAAATTACATGAAGTTCATGTCAACATGTTTTCTAAAATAAGAGCATAGATAAAATGCATATTTCACAGACCTCATCCAATTTCTAAACAATAATGAAACTCAACAAACTTAACAAAACAATCTCAAAGGGGATATCCAGTTACATCTCTTGCTTTTAATTTTTAATTACGAAAAAAACCTGACTTCAGAAATGTTTCATGAATGCAATTAAAAACCTATTATATCCTTCAAAGAAGGCTATTTCATGCATACCAAACAAATATAATTACGTTTTGTCTGTCCCAATCACCTTTTATTTGTGAATGATGTCAAAAACTAACAAAACATGAACAAACTATAATAAAGTATTGTTACCTAGTTCGGAATCCTGTAGAATCATCAATGCCTCTATAGAATAAGGGATGGGAATATGCATCTTTTATGTTGAGCAGTTCTCCTAAAATAAATATAATCATATACCAATAACTTGATGTTGTTTTGTTTCTTTTTAAGGAGGTTTTAAGTCCCAATGACAGTGTGATGGTCATATAACAACTTTCCAGCTTTACTATTGGATGAAAACATCAGATGCCCATCCCTGCATTTTTTTCAGACACCTAATTAAAACCACTGACCTTTATGTTAGCTGGCTAGTTATACTTCACACTATGAAACAATTCAAAGTCCCCGTCAATAGTCAAATCCCCAGAGCTGGGGTCATGATTCAGAAAGCAAAATCTTAATCATATTCATATAAAATGTCTATGTAGATAGTAAGATGACCTAAAGTCAAGCTTGAAATTATTTAGTGTTATTTTGAGAAAAGGCTGTATACCAGATTCACCTTGTAGTATGATTTTACTTTTAATAAGATTTATAAGGAGCAAAAATAATCTTCTTTTAATAATTCTTGGATAAATTTTTGCCATTTATAAATATAGCCATGTTTGTCATAGCCAAAATTCTTGTTTATCATCACCTGGGATGGTCACTTTCCACAAGCCAGTATTACCTGATTATACATTTATAATTTACTTTGACAGACAACTTTCTATTAAACTTCAAAATTAATTTGGTCATATTTTGCTTAGCAAAGCTGCCTTTCTTGCATTTCCAATTAGCTATCAATATTTACCTGAGGTGGCCACTTTTCCTGCTATACCCTGAGTTATTGGCATCCTAATCTCTTCCTGAACCTAAGTAAGATAAAAAGAACAAAATCCAAGACGCCAGTTTATAACAAAGCCAAGCATTAACATGCAATGTAAATTAAAATCAATAATGATATTGCTGAGCATGGATTGTACTGTCACAGATGGTCTTGATGCACTGTTAGAAATAATTGAATTTTATCATGAAATTGTACATATACATGCAAATAACATTCATTTCTATGCACTGTCAGCTTGGATAAATAAATAAAAAGACGAACATTGAACGAAGAAAGACTGATGTGAATATGTCGTTAATTTATTGTAGAAGAATCTATGTAAAGGGAAAATATAGAACCTGTTGCATATATGAATTAAAAACCCAGTTTTGAATAAATATACATCATATACAAAGAAAAGTTAAACTTGATCCAAAAGCTATAAATTTCTTCATTTCAGCCATTTCAGAGTTTGAATTATCATTAAATCCTGCAAGGTTTTGTCCAAAACACCCTACAGACATGTTTTACTCTAACAATTATATGTATAATAAACCCTTTTGACGGAAAATAACACTCAACACTTATTGAGCAAAACTGTCCTCAAAATCAGATGTTTTGTTTTTTTATCTTGGACACTAGATATATAGACTCTGAATTATCTATTATTCTTTTGCTAGATACATTTTATAAAAGATAATGCTTTTTATATATACAGTAAACTCCGCTTATAACGAACTCATCGGGACATTCAAAATCAGTTCCTTATATCCGGAGTTCCTTGTAAGCATATAGCGAATTAGTTCCTTGTAACGGGAGTTTTTATAGCGAACAGATTTACATATAACGAACTGTTTGTTTACCAACGTCCGCAATTTTGAAGAACATTTGATTAAGAAAAATTAGTCGTTTATTTCTATTTTTGACACAATATCCGAGAGCGTACTTTTTGGAATTTGAAAATCCTTTGCTATTTCAGTTTTAATTTTACTCCCTTTCTCAATTTCTCATAAAATAAAATGTATCATATTTTGTTTCCAAACTCAGTACTTTTTCATTTTCTTTCCATTATTAAGAATAACCAAGATTTTTCTTTCCTTTTATATTGAATATCTTCTATTATATTTTTAAGGGTGACTTTTACTAGTGAACGATATAGATTTCTTTTCATTTAAATCAAGCGTACTTTGTAGTTTTCAATGGATTATGCTATTACGTACTGCTATACACATTCATTTTAATAGATGTCTTGAAGTACGTACAAAAATAAACAGTACATTCGGACGAGTGCCAATGAGAACGAAAGTTGAAAATGCGGGATCTATTTACGGATAGCCGATATTTTGGAGTTCGTTATAAAAGTGTAATTTTCTGTACTTTTAACTAAATTGGGACTAAGAAATGAGTTCCTTATAAGCGAAAATTCCTTATAACCGTGTTCGCTATAACCGTATATTTTTATATTAAATAAAGAAGGGCAAAATTCGGGCCAAAATAAATTGTTCCTTATAACCGGAAGTTCGCTATAACCGTGTTCGCTATAAGTGAAGTTTACTGTACAACAATGAAAAACCTATTTATATCATATGCTTATGATAAACATTGTATAGATTTATAATTTAGGATTTTTCACTACAAACAATAAAAACCTATCATTTAACTTGTCTAAAATATCAAGATAAATATATATTTCTGTTGTACTGATATCTGATATGCACAAGCATGAATCTACTGAAAGCTTATAGATTGTGGCTAGTGCAGACCAAGATCCACCTGATCATTATATGCACTGTTTGCTATTCAGTCAGAACATATTTTGGTATTTTTCTTAAAAATGATAAACAATTTTGTCTAGATTGAAAGATGGACAAGCACTTTTAGATTTTTTTGAAGGGCAGAAAAAAGTTTTCATCACACCAAAATAAACCATCAATGTATGACACCCAAAATTTGCTTGCAGGCTTATATATCCTGTTAATTGTCAATGCATCCAAATCAACAAATCAACCCATTTCAACCATATATCTCTCCTTCTTCATAATGACAGTGTAATATAATTCTTTCAGCAAGTTGGTTAGTCTAACTGCTCTGTCATTAACCCCACTCTATTCCTATTATTCTCAATTCTCTGTTAATCTATACTTTCTTAAAGAGAGACTTATTACAGACAAATTTTCTTCACAAATCCCAGTGGATTTGCATAGTCTTTAAATGTAAGACATACAAACACAAAAACTCCCTTCTAAGTAAATTACGTCCTGAAAATTATTGCAGACAATCTTTCTGGATAGTAAACATAATGACTTGATGCAACACAAACTCTTGTAATAGTAATAGATGTTAAAAAGGATTACCCTTGTATCATTTAGAATTCAAGCAATTTCTATGGGACAAGTTTATTCAGAGAAAGGGGCCTTTTATTTTATACAACATAGAGTTAAAACTAGAAATGTGTGCATAGGACAAGGATGCCCAACCCAACTTTCCGCTGTTCTGTCAGTTTAAGGACAGACAAGCAAATCTTATGTCCTCCACCCCTTAATTGCAATTATGTCTATACACAAACGATAGGTGCAAGTGCTACCATTCATTTTCCCTAGCACAAGCTTAAGGGGTAATGAAAATGTATACATGACAATGATCAAATTTTCAATTTAGACGATGCGTTCATATTGCTTTAACCCATTACTTCATGAGCATTTTGTGAAAAATGGCTGTTTTCATTGAAAAGTCTCCCGTTACAAGTTCAAATTGCTATCATACTATAAAAACTGCTTCAACACTAATCAAACTTGGCACAAATGTTGACTGGACCATTGCCCTTGCAACAACATGCTCAGGCTTAAATTTTCTGTTACCATGGCAACGAGGGGACATCTCAAAATTGCCAAAAATCACTATTTTGCGTTGATTTTTTCCATCAAAATTGATTTCAAAGTGCTGCAACTTCTCAATGGATTGAGATAGAGTCAAATGCTTTTCAGCGTTGGTTACACGTTACCTTATGATCAATCTGGGGTCATTTATAGCCTCTCACAAGTCCAAAATTTTCTTGGCGATGAGGGGGACTCCGCCCCCCTTCAAACCCCCCAAACAGAAGGGGGCACATCCCCCTTCTGGCAACCCCCTGATGTATCTTTTGGTTGGGGGGCCGCGCCGAAAAAGTGGTCACTTTTTTTAACAACATTTCTCAAACAAAAACAAGTGTTGGGGGCCTAAATAAGGCATTTTTTCACCATTTGAGACAACAAAAAGGGGGGGGTGAGAAAGGCGTTAAAAGGCGTGTATATGAAGTAATGGGTTAACAGAAAATGATGAAAATACTTGAAATTACCCTAAATCGCGTTTTTCCATGTTTAAACATGGCCTGTCATGTAAATTTGAAGAAAAATTGTTGTTTTGTAGATTTTTTTATTTTTTTCATTAACCCATTACTTCATGAGCATTTTGTGAAAAATGGCTGTTTTCATTGAAAAGTCTCCCGTTACAAGTTCAAATTGCTATCATACTATAAAAACTGCTTCAACACTAATCAAACTTGGCACAAATGTTGACTGGACCATTGCCCTTGCAACAACATGCTCAGGCTTAAATTTTCTGTTACCATGGCAACGAGGGGACATCTCAAAATTGCCAAAAATCACTATTTTGCGTTGATTTTTTCCATCATAATTGATTTCAAAGTGCTGCAACTTCTCAATGGATTGAGATAGAGTCAAATGCTTTTCAGCGTTGGTTACACGTTACCTTATGATCAATCTGAGGTCATTTATAGCCTTTCACAAGTCCAAAATTTTCTTGGCGATGAGGGGGACTCCGCCCCCCTTCAAACCCCCCAAACAGAAGGGGGCACATCCCCCTTCTGGCAACCCCCTGATGTATCTTTTGGTTGGGGGGCCGCGCCGATAAAGTGGTCACTTTTTTTAACAACAATTCTCAAACAAAAACAAGTGTTGGGGGCCTAAATAAGGCATTTTTTCACCATTTGAGACAACAAAAAGGGGGGGGTGAGAAAGGCGTTAAAAGGCGTGTATATGAAGTAATGGGTTAACAAAAAATGATGAAAATACCTAAAATTACTAACAATCGCGTTTTTCCATGTTTAAACATGGCCTAACATATAAATTTGAAGAAACATTTTTGTTTTGTAGATTTTTTTATTTTTTTCATTTACCCATTCCTTCATGAGTATTTTGTGAAAATTAGCTGTTTTCCTTGAAAAGTCTCCCGTTACAAGTTCAAATTGCTATAAAACTATAAAAGTGTTTCAATACTGATCAAACTTAGCACAATTGTTGACTTGACCATTGCCTTTGTAACAACATGCTCAGGCTTAAATTTTCTGTTACCATGGCAACGAGGGGACATCTCAAAATTGCCAAAAATCACTATTTTGCGTTGATTTTTTCCATCATAATTGATTTCAAAGTGCTGCAACTTCTCAATGGATTGAGATAGAGTCAAATGCTTTTCAGCGTTGGTTACACGTTACCTTATGATCAATCTGAGGTCATTTATAGCCTCTCACAAGTCCAAAATTTTCTTGGCGATTAGGGGGACTCCGCCCCCCTTCAAACCCCCCAAACAGAAGGGGGCACATCCCCCTTCTGGCAACCCCCTGATGTATCTTTTGGTTGGGGGGCCGCGCCGAAAAAGTGGTCACTTTTTTTAACAACATTTCTCAAACAAAAACAAGTGTTGGGGGCCTAAATAAGGCATTTTTTCACCATTTGAGACACCAAAAAGGGGGGGGGGGTGAGAAAGGCGTTAAAAGGCGTGTATATGAAGTAATGGGTTAATAAAGGAAAAACATGTCAATGGTTCAAAAGAAAAACAACAACATGTGTGCCTTAAGAAGATCAAGAACAATATTTTAACTTTGACTCAGAAAACAGAAAAAAAATTCATCAATGACATCAATTTTAATATGTTTTTAGTAAGATATTTGTTAAAGAAAATTTATTCCTTAAAATTCAAGACTATAGTTTCAAGGCCCCTTGAGAATAAAGCAGACTCAAAGCAATTATCATAGTACATCTGATTAGAATTATAAATATATGACTGCATAATAAAGCAAATATCGTATTTCAATCAGCAATTAACTAATGCTTACCTACATTAAGAAAGCCTTATACATATACCTGATTCTGGTTATGATCTACAAAAATTTCATTAAAACTAGGGCACTACATTATAACTTTACAAAATAATTATGCGCACAAGTGCTTTTTAAGAAAATTACAGTTTTTCTTATATAAATTCTACACTGAAACTTTAAGTCTATATAAAGAAATGGACTTGATATTTATATAAGCTATGCCTTATACATGTATGTGGGTAGTATGATCACCAAACTTCTAACTGAGGAGTGGTCCCCTTGTGGTTATAGGCTCTGCCTGTCAATCCAGGGATAACAGGTGTGAGCCCTACATAGATCTCAATTAAGTTACCTATTATAACATATACTGGGTAAAGATTATAATAGAAATTTCTCGGCCCAGTTATTTGGTTGGTTAGAAACCTGCTAACAAATGAAAATCCTACGATTAGAGGCCCAGTTCAGGAAAACATTATAATCTGAAAGCCTGGTCCTTAGATTATATAAAGAAAGTTTCTCAGCTCATAAATACTGACAAACATGACACTTAAGACAGAACTTTTAAAAACAGTTTTATAGCATTGAAGCCAGGTGTTTTCTACATCACAGACTCAATAGTGGAACAAAATGGCTACAAGATTTCTTAACATTTAAAATTAAATAATGATCTGACTAACATTCTGACAATTCAAATTTAAATTCATTCAAATATCAGAAAAATATTTTGGATTTCTTTATTAAGTAATAGATATGAATAATAAAATTGGAAATCTTTTTCTGACAATTATATCCAAGAAATGGTTTTTTTATTCAGAATTATTGCATTAAAAGTACTGAAGACTTTTTTTATTATGATTAGGCTAGCAATAAAGCAATTAAAGTGACATTATGCCCATTTTTTATTTTTTTCATTTTGAAGTTGAGCTTAACTGAATATATATTACAAAAGATTGACTATTATAATGGTGATTGACTGGAAACTGTTAAGGATAAAATATTGGCAAGACTGCCCTACTCTTTTTATAAATTAAATATTATAGGTAAAAGTCCAATGGATATTCACAGAAATTTTCTTTGGCCAAGTGTGTTATTTAACATTCATGCAAAATAAGTTATGAAATTGGCAGGAATTTAATTATGGCAAAACGTAAACTTATTTTCACTTTCAACTTTTCACTCACTTTGTACACTTGGACGGACATAATGTCACTTTTATATTACACATCTAAGGTAAAAAAAACCTCTGACTAACCAAGCATCTGCTTACTTCGTTGTCCTTTTTGGTTGTTATGCCATCAAACACTTTGGCCACAAGTTCGTCTGTATCTTGATCTATCAGAAACACGGAACATCTGTAACAACAACAACAACAACTCGTATAGATACATCTTAAGCCTCGGGAGACATATATAGAACAGCAGAAATAATTTCTCCTTAATCGATACATAATCTGCAAACTGACGTAATCAATGGAACACTCTGGAGTCGTAAAATTTTACTGCAGCCAGATAAATAGTTTTATCTAGATAACCTATTATTTTGTATAGGCATCAGTAATTTCGTCTTGGCTCCTAGAAATCAGCTCAATGATCATCAAGACATAAAATCAGAATTATGAAATACTGCGCATGAGACTATGAAATTCCCAAAGGGCTTACAAGATTTTCAAGAAATAATTTTCATACATTTATCTTATTTAAAGATATACTTTGCTCAACTTTGGGTGAAATACTTTTATTGCAGAAATTTATTGAAATTCTTCCGGCAAAAGTCTAATTTGAATAGGTGAATGTATAAACTATGTTTGGAAAGCTGCATTACCTATTACTTACTCAAGATAACTGCCAGATTTTTTTAATAATGACAATATGTAATTATAGTGTGATTACCTGTAGTGTGTATTCAAAAGAAGTTTATTTTACATTTCACAATAGACTGTATAGTAATTATCAGTTTTTTTCAAATATCCAATTTAAGCATTATATATATTTAAGTAAAAACAAAGTTTTAAAGAACTGATCCTTTCACATTTGATTGTAAATGTTGTTTTTCTTTTTATAAAACTGACAGACAGTCTATATCAATATTGAACTTGAGTAAGCAGATAATCACATTACTTTACAATAGCAGCCAGACCAATAGCAGACTCAAATTTTCTCAGTGCTTGACAGTAAAAACGGCATCTTGCCAATGATGCAGGATTTTTTTTGTAACTTCACAAAAAGATGTAATTTAGTTAAATTTCATCAGTTAAGAAGGTTTTAATGGGTCTTAATTTTCTTCAATCAATTTTTTTCTGATCATTAAGCATCTATGTTTAATTTTATATGATATAGTATGTAATTTGATGTATTTTTGTTAAACACTTTTTGTTTTTGATAACATGAAAATGACATTTAAACAAAGTGTTTTTCGTTTGAAAAGCTGCAATAAAATAATACTTTTCATAGGACTCCCATGGGGTAAAATGTTAATGGGGTTCAAAGAAGGTGATGTGCCCCCTTCTTGTTTGGGGGTTTGAAGGGGGGCGGCAGTCCCCCTTCATCGCCAAGAAAAGTTTGGACATGTGACAGGCTAAAAATGGCCTCAGGTCGATCTTAGGGTAACTAGTAACCAACACTGAAAAGCCTTTAACTCTACCTCAATTCATTGAGAAGTTGCAGCATTTTGAAATCAGTTTTGATGAAAAAAAAACAATGCAAAATAGTGATTTTTGGCAATTTTGAGATGTCCCCCCTTTGCCATGGTAACAGGAAATTTACAATTGAGCATGCTGTTACAGAGGCTATGGTCTAGTCAACATTTGTGCCAAGTTTCATCAGTATTGAGGCATTTTTCATAGTTTCATAGCAGTTTGAATTTTTTACAGGAGGCTTTTCAATGAAAACAGCCATTTTTCGCAATATGCTCATGGGGTAAAAGGTTAAGCAGTCTTTTTTATGTGTTATTTTTGTAATAAATGAATATATGTATGTATGCATCATTGATGTTAATCAACTTTGTTGGTAAACAGCTTGTAAATAATGTTTCTTTGTTATATATGAACTGACATTAAATAAAGTTTCTTGTCTCTTGTATATGGAGCTGCATAAATAATCTTTCCTTAAGAAAATCTTCCCCTTACGGGTATGAAGGATACCCCTCTCAGTGTGAAGCATAGCCCACCATCATTTTTTGAATAATGAAGGTTAAAAGAAAGCACACTTTCTTCATGTTTATCCTCTATGAACAAGGTCTAATAACTTTTGCTTTCCTTACTTTTGAATCTGTTTCCAGAGTAAAACACTCTTTTATATCTTTAAAAGAAGGCATCATGTATGTTGCCTTTTAAACAATTTTTTACATGAAATAATAAATAACAATCTCACCTTTCTGCATGAGTCAGGTTCCTTGCTTGTTGCATAATCTCTCTTAACAATTTGGTGAGGTCATCTGCAAAGATCATTCAAGATATTGATGAATCATGAATACAGGTTTCTTTTCTCCATACAATTTTTCGGTTTAATTTTAAATATTTTTTGTTAAATGCTTAAATGATGATAAATGATTAAAAGTTAAGATATTAAAACAAGAGCACCGCTAGGCGGAGCATTATATGCCCGAAAGTGTTTTTTTTTTTTTAGTAAGGATGAAGCATTTGTAAGACATGGGAATTTTTACATGAAATAATAAATAACAATCTCACCTTTCTGCATGGGTCAGGTTCCTTGCTTGTTGCATAATCTCTCTTAACAATTTGGTGAGGTCATCTGTAAAGATCATTCAAGATATTGATGAATCATGAATATAGGTTTCTATTCTTCATAATTTTTTTCTGTTCCATTTTCAATATTTTTTGTTAAATGATTAAAAGTTGTTAAATGATTAAAAGTTCAGACATTAAAAAAGACAGCATAAGAACCTACCATAGAGTCATAATGATAAATAAAAAGTTTTGTTTTTTAAACATTAAATATTTCTTGTCACTGTAAATTGTTTATTATTAATATTGTGATTAAACAAAAGAGCAGAAATACTAATATAAATCAACAGTGAAGCTGCAGAACAAACAAAAACCTCTCAAATTCAAACCCATAAACATGGTACCAATTACCATTTAAATGAACAACATCAAAATCTCCAATACAACTCTAAAAACCAAAAAGGGAAAAAACCACTTGAAACCAACATGGTGAACTGTCAACTTTTACAATCTTACTAGAACTAATGGATCCTGCCTCTGTTACAGGTACTTGTATATCAGCAATATTAGCATCACTCACACATATCATTGCTTCTTTAGCTTCTTCTTCACTTTCAGATTGATGTTTTTCAAAATTCAGATTTTTTCTTATCACATTATCACCTTTTTCAGAAGACTCATCAAGGATTGTCCCCTCTTGGAATTCATTATCGCCATTTTCAATGTTATCACTAAGATCAGAGAGGGGATTTTCTTGATTTGATATCGTATTAATGCTCTCATTAATATTTTCACTCGAGTTTGATTCAGTTGCAAAAAGCTTATCTAAATCAGAGAGATCTTTTTCACAATAATCTGATAGTGTGTTTATAGTATCATCCAGATCTTCAACATGGAAAGCATCATTCAAGTCTGCCTTGCTATCTACCATAATGGGTGAAATTTCACCAACGTGAAGTGGCTCACTTTTACATCTATTCACACCCTTTTCAAAAACATCTTCTGGAAAGCCTAATATATCAGGCCGGAACTGCACAAAGTCCCCAGCATCTTTATCGTGTACACCTGGACAAAATGACTGTACACTATCTACATAAACATCATCAAATGTTCTATCAGAGAAATTAGAGTCATTATCAGCATAGTCACTAAAAGCAGTAGCAAAAGATAAATCTGACTCGGAGAAACAGTCATCAGGTGAAACAATACCTTCAGTAAATACAGTTTCAGATTTAAGAGACTCATGGAATTTTTTTGTATCTTCCTTAAATGATGCTTTTAACTTTTCAATTGAAGCTATAAGGTCATCTTCATCATAAGAAACAACGTCATCTGCACTCCTTTCCTCATCTTTAGTTTCAAAAGAATCTAAATCTGTAATACTTTCAGCTGAAGACTGGACTAAATTATCTTCTCCATTAATAGTTTTAGTTGAATCATCATTGCTATAATCTGAATTTAAAGCTTCCAAATCCGTAACAAGCATTTCAGTACTTTCATCAGTTTCATTTTCATCCAACTCCTCCTGGGCAACAAATGCATTTATCATTTCATCAGTATTCTTTTCCATAAGTGTGGTGTCTTTTCTGATATTTTCCATATTTTCCATCTCAATTACATTGATAACATCAACAACTTCCTTTATTTTAACACCTAATTCTGCAATAGTCTCAGTCAGTTCTGCTGCATCCCCTAGGACCTTTTCAACTACCATACTATCATCAGCAATAGTGCCTTTCAAATCCTCTGCATCACTCTCTAACTTTGTAAACGAAGACTCCCCATCAAACAGTGGACCAAATTCCTCTTCACTTAAATCATTTTTAGTTTTTGAACCAAAAAAGAAATCATGAGAAGGTGCAGCCAGAAAGAAACTCTTATAGACATTTATTTCACATCCTCTAGACTCTATTACTGGAAAGTTCTCTAAACCTTTACCATATGTCAAGCTACACTTACCTAAGTTTGTGAACAGATCTCTGGCCACTGTCAATAGGGCCTGAAAAATATATCACAAAGGCATTTTGATGACATATACTTATGCTGTCTCTAGAAAAGTATTGGTTTGTTTGACATTTTTGAAGGGAGAGCCTTCTCACAACTCATGTGGAACCACCTTTTATTTAAAACAACTACTGGGTTGTAGATGGCTCATCCATATTAAGAATTAAGGTAAATTTTTAAATCAATTTTGGAAGAAACACAGAGTATAACAAGACAAGATTTCATATATCAACTTCAAATTTTCAAATACTGTCTGGAAAATGAAAAGTCAACCAACAAACAATTTTCTTTTTTTGGCTGATTATTTATCTGAAACCTTTCAAATGTGGCAAACTGAATCATTTTTGACTTATCTTTCTTCACACCATAATAAATCATTTTATGCACACATATACTACTGAATATCCATTACAATGAATTAGTGTTGATCACTGAAGGGTTCAAATTGTGATTAATCTTCCTTTGGAATATTTAAATCCTGCAAGGATTTGCATTTTCACTAAATTGTTTGTATCTGGAACTGTTCAAGAGATTGACGAGAATTTAATTGACTACTTTCCATTGACATGGAAATTTAAAACTGTAATTGTGTAAAAGAAGAGAAATTTTCAAGACTTTTAAAAGCTCCTATTTTAAATTCCTTTTACATGTATACCCAGAATATTTTTTTATTATAATAGTGAATTTTAGCAAAATAAAAAAATATATATATCACCCTGTTTTCTAGAATTATCATTTTAATGGCGCAAAAAAGAACCCCAAAAATGAAAAGCATTAAGGTTAAGAATTGCACAAAAAAAATCAATATTCAATTCAATTCAGAGTATATTTCTTTATCATCTTCTGCTAATTTTTCCAGTTAAGTGTTCCTCATCTACTTCAGAATTTCAAATTTTATGTTTTTAGGCTTTTTGACCTCGATTGAGTTCCTTTAAGAGAAAAATCCAAAAACTTATTTATATCAAGTTAATGCCCCTATTTGCCTTACCAAGAAACTTAAAGTCACTGTTTCATGGACGAATTAGTGTTGGGACCAAAATTACATGATCATGTGTAAAGAAAAATGCAAGTGTCTGACCTGTGTTTGTTGTTTAAGTTTTCTTTCATTCTGGAAGGCTAATGTACTAGTAAGGACTGTTGATGTGTATCGGAAGCACTGGTGTATACAAGATATGTCACGATCTGAAAATCTGAAACACAAAGCAATCATTCTTTACTATATTTCAATATCTGATATCTGTTGAAATAATAAAATCTGCAATACATAAAACATTCTTTACTATATTTCATTGTGGTCAAAAATTTGCGTATCTGATATCTGTTGAAATAATAAAATCTGCAATACATAAAACATTCTTTACTATATTTCATTGTGGTCAAAAATTTGCAGTTGACAAGCCTTTTGGTCCAAACATTAATTCCAAAACTAAATTGAATCCAATAAATTTACATCTGCAGAGAAGCACCCTTTGGGACACAGAGATGTTGGTTATTGCTGTGAGGTGTTGCTCTCAGCCCTAGAAGAGAGGTTAAACTTATTTTGAATCCTTACTTTTGAAAATATGATACTGTTGTTGTAAAGAAGTAACAGTCTGCTCTTAAGATGACAACTCTAGAGTTGTTGCAATTTGTATATACAATTATCTAGAAATCTAAACTGTGTATTTCAATTCTTCAATTTACAATAATGAAGGAAAATATCACAGCAAAGGGGGGCATAGCAAATTTGCTTTGTCTACTATTATGCATATAGACTTTATTTTTTTGAAACGTCTGCAATATGCTCAGAAGATAAACAACCTGATTCAGGATTTCTGACACAAATCATACCATTTTCATGTAAGAAAATAACTTATGAATCTCAATCTAACCCATAACTTTGTAATCAATATGGCATTATAAAAATAATTTTAACATTATTATATCATAACCATACCCCCCCCCCCCCCATCTATTCTCTAATCCTCATAAAAAATATATATCAAGATGTTTTTTTTTTTCAACAACAGGAGCATACATAGAAAAGAATTATGCTAGGAAGTAGTCATAACTGTCAGATTATTGATGACAATTACTGCTACCGTTGTAGCACTTGCTCTTCCCCATGAGAATCGTCTTCTTGACAATTCCACCTCCAGTTCCCACCATCGTTTGCACTGTCTCAATCCCCATAGAGAAACTAATTTTAATTTTCCCAATATTCACTGAACATTCAACAAACAAATGACAATTCAGCAAGAAATAGCCCTAGAAATCAATATGCTGTAATAATAAGAGATCAGACTCCACTTGTTTAGATATGATTGTGTCAATAAAAATAAGCTTTTCTTGTTACAATTTCAGCCCTTTCTACCGAATCTAGCAGACTATACTGTTGTGGGATCAATAAATGATGTATATATGTATCTGGCTTTAACTAAATCTCATTTGTTTTGGATCAAGACAGTTAGTGGCGTAAGCTCTGACACTTAAAACGTATATTCAAGCAATTATTTTCCTGCTGTCTTTCTATTATTCCAATGATTATATGTAAATGTCTCACAAAAATCCAGATACTGTTTTTATATAGATCTGAGTAATGCTAAGGTTGTCAATGTGCGTCAATGCAGAACATAGATATCACATTAGAAAAGAAGCTGACTTCCAAGGACATATTCAATTAATTATTCAGTAGCAGAAAACTATTACGGCATACAAATTAGAAGGAAAACACTTTGTTGTAATGACACTTAATAATCGACTTTGTAGACAAGTAAATTATTTTGCAGGTTTCATCCCTCACTGACAGCCCAGATCTATTTCATAATTATGCAAGTCAAATTTGATTCATTCGCCTATTAGAATAACTATTAAAATAATCATTAAGAAATTTAGATGTAGGTAATGGCTAAAAACATTATTCATCAACAAAAAAAATACATTTACATATAAATATTCTTGAAACTTAAACTAAGCAATTTCGGTCCAAAAAAATGTTTAACTAATAAACATTTACTACCTATACCATGTGCTTTCCTACTGATGTTCAATAGTGACATTTCTAAATTGTTTGCCTCCTTAATAAAACATATGGTAATACATCAACAATTTAACACAAAAAAATATCTTGAGCTTTAGCCATTTAAATAATTATCACAAAAAGTTAATTAATGTTCCTTTACATTGCCAAAAAGCCAATTAAAAACAAAATCCTACAACTACTTTCAAATTATTCATACAAGTTTAAACATATATCTATCAATCAATAGCATAAAAATAAATCACATTTCCCAAACATAAAAGAAATTGCTCTACTATCATGAATTCAGATGAGACAGTCATACGAGTTCCATTTTTGCAACACAATCCCTAGCCAATCATGTAACATAGCCTGTGTGCTAAGCAAAACAATTTCCTGCCCAGTTCTATCTATTACATTATCCCTGTGTCAGATAATTTCATGGGGTAATAGAACCGAGATTTCAGAGCAAATCAGTTTTTCCTTTTTGTGTATTTAGAACAAGTTAGAACTGTATTGCATCAAACCATCAAGACATATGTAAACTTGTTGCTAGGGACATGTCTATCCCAATCTGTGACTAAGTTATGGAGACAGGGTCGGAATTTACTCTAGGACCACATGCAGATTTTTAACAGACTTTGTGTAATAAATAAACCAACATGTGACAGTCGAGACTGTGCAGGCCAAATGATGTCATATAAATCACACAATATTGGATGATCCTATAATGGCAGATTCTGGCAAAGACAGCGGGTTTGGAAATATACTTGTGTCCCTATCTTAATATCAAATGTCTATTTTTCCTAAATACATTTTTCACATGTATTTACAAACATATCAACTCTGTAGCAAATTTATAATGATCTAAATATACCTTTGACTTTGCTAACTGTATCTTAATATACACAAGTATAATTTGATTATGATAGCAGGAGTATTATGTTTTAATTTCATAATGTTTCTTCTGTATTATAATTTTATCATCTATCATTCAGTCCAATTACAAGTCCAAAAATAAAGCTTTTATGCAATGTTTTGATATTAATGCAATATATATTAATTTTATGTTTTATACTAAGCAAATTTAATGTGCAACTTCATTGAATTACCGAAATTCTTACTGAAATATTTTGTACACTGGATAATAACCCATCGTTTCAATTAATTCAATCTCATGCATATGTTACAATAAAACATTTCTACATACGTTTAGTAGTTACACCTATTGTCAATATTTTAGCAACATGATCAACAAGGCACAATGGAAAATTCTTCATACATATCATCATTTAGAATATGAAAGCATACAACTGGCAGTTGCTGATTAAATATAAGATTCTTTGTGGTAAAAAGAAATACAAAATTTCAACTTTTTCATGTTTAAATAGTGAAATCTGCTTATCTGCTTAAGCTGGTAGTAAGGGGTGTGGACAGTAGCTTGCACTTTTCAGTTTTGTCCATGAACAAGCTCAATCAAACTGAGCCTGCAACATTTTTACAATTTTTCCATTTTGGGCATTTTTTAAGGGATTCTGTTTTGGCTCTATTCTATTTAAAGGCATTTATTTGTAAATAAAAATTAGAGCCAATGTAAGCATCTTAACAGTTTGTAAAACTACAATTTCCCTAACATCTAAAATTGTTGTCATATTTTTTCTTAAAACCATTACCATGCAACTTTCTCTATAAATGGACTTGTCTATCTTTCAATCAAGACAAAACCATATGTCATTTTTATGGGAAAAAAAATTATCAAAATATGTACTAAATGAATAGCGAAAAATGCTAACAATGATCAGACGGGACGGATGTGCCAACTGACCTTAGCCTGCACTGGTCACATGGGTAGATTCAATAACCGCCAGATGGTTAAAGGTTAAAGAAAAAAAATGACTGTTACAATTATTAATTAATAATTCATAGGAATGTTGTAGGAATATTTGCCAAATCAAACTATTCATATTCAAAGTGTGTCTGTTCAAACAATCAGAAACATACTTCACACAGGATGAAACATTCGCAGTACATCTTCTTAATTACAATATGAAAGCGTACAAGTAGCAATTTCTGATCAAATATAAAAGATTCTTTGTGGGATAAAGAAGGGAATTTCTATACGAAAGCTCACAGAACATAAACTGCCTAATGGATTAAATATGTCTGTATTGTATGGTAGGCAATAATTTCAGGAATTTCTTTTGACCCATACATGTGACATCCCGGCGGGATTTTAAAAAATCCCGATATTTCAACACTGATCCCGATTCCCGATATTACAGCTTGAATTCCCGATATTTAAAAAAAAAATCAACATAAAAAAATCAAACACAGCACCTGTATCTAAAATGTAAACCGTGCCTCCGGGCATTGATTGTTATCTGTCCATATCCTAAATTATAGCGGATTAAATGTTGAGTCGCTAATTGACAGCAAGGTGACGTAATAAACAGTTCCAATACCCAGTTATTCTCTCATGTTTAACTTATCACGTGTCGTGTGTCAGTCAATTGACCTCTTTTGTAAATTGGCAGTAGGTATTACACGCTACGTCATCAAAACTACCCGTAAATTTACATGTATGAATTCGGCTCAACCTTTGATTTTCTTTGATTAGTGCCGCACTGATAAAGATAAAAGGTGAGCAGAATCATTTAAAGTGGATCATTCAAAACCTGTTTGAGATGTCTAATTAACCTATTTTTAGTGAGTGGGTAATTTTTTTGTTTTGTTTAGGAATTACACTATCATCGAGGCAAAAATGTGGATTTAATCATAGGCCCTGGGCCAGTGTGAAATTTGCGTTGAAGATGTGCTAAATTGACCTCTTTACACACCAATCTTCCTAATATACTATATTCCAATTAAAAATTCCAATTTCAAAAACAGTCCATAATATGCTATATAGTTATAGACAAGGTTATGGACTGTTTTTGAAATTGGAATTTTTAATTGGAATATAGTATATTAGGAAGATTGGTGTGTAAAGAGGTCAATTTAGCACATCTTCAACGCAAATTTCACACTGGCCCAGGGCCTATGGATTTAATTAACGGAACGATTCTTGCATTTATTTTGAGTCTTCTACTTATGTTACGTTAGTCTTATGTTCATGAATAGTTGTTGCACGTTTTCAAATAGCTTGTGTTTAATTATTGAATGACTGAAAAGACATATAATTCTTCAAACTGAAAATAATGAAATGTGAAAGTGTGACTGTTTTAGAAATAGCCTGTATGACTACACTTATTTATTTATCTATTTATTTATTTTTTTTGGTGAAATAAATTAATATTGATCAACAAAAAAATCATAAAAAGTATAATCATTTAATGATTTTGAGGGTAATATAGATTCTTTGAACCAAATGTGCCAAACACGCATTGAAATTCAAGTCGATAAAAAAATCCAGTTTTGAGCCTCAAAATCCAGCTGAAAATCCAGATTTGGCCCATTTCATTTGTCACATGTATGTTGACCGGATAAACTCTTCTCACTTAACATATAAAAAATATTAACTCATCTTCAGCGGTAGCTAAATTAATACACTGTGCACTGATCTATACCTTTTCATCTAATATTTTTTTGGATATGTCATACATATGTTAACCACAGCTAACATTTAACAACTATTTCTTACTTAATTCATTTACATAATGTAATAACTTAAATAATGTAAATAATTTTCACAACATTTTTGGCACTGATAAGAGTTATGTTGAAATCCAGATTTGTGTTTTATTTCAAGACAAATTCAGAGACAATTTCTATTTAGTTAAATTATTTTCAAATGTAACAATACAGAGATTTTATGTAGCATAATTTAGCACTGTGTACAGTAATTATAGACATAACCCTTACTTCATTAGTTATGGGGAGATATCAAGTCACTGACCTTTGACAGCAGTATATAGCCACAACAGCCTGCACATCCACACAGTCTGACCTGGTAGCTAAATTTTTGTTTTTGATTTTTAAAACCTTTAAACTTTGAATGGACTATTCAAAATTCTAAACTTATCATATCCATTTCACAAATTCAGAAGGTAACGGATAAAATAAGCTTATATAAAGAAAACCAAACAAATGCCAAGGATGATATTGGTATACAGCATGCTGTGCTAAAAAATAATCATAATATTAACTAATACCTGTTTGCATTTTGTTTGTTTGCTACACACGTCAATGCAATAAGGTTATTGTTACTTCGACTTGTCACTGGCACACATAAAAATGACCGCAAGGGGCATTCTATTTTTTCTTCTATGGCTTTTCTACTCTCCTGTAATTATAGAAAAAAAGTCAATTTCAAAAGTGACGTCAAATCAGTGACATGAACAGATTTCTTCATGCATTACTTGACTGACATTTGGTAATGACATAAACTACGTTTATTACAAACAACAAAATACGCAATGTTATTATGCCAATATCATGACATCAACAGTGACTGATATTTCTTGGTACTCAATAAAGATAATATTAATCCTAGAACCAAAACAGTAAAGCCCATTCCACCAGTGTGCAGTCTGACCTAAAGGAATACAAACGCTTCCCCCCCAATCCCCCCCCCCCCGCAGTTTTAGAACTTAGGTAATGTAATCTAAATTTGAACTACTGAGCTATTACAATTCCCAAACAAAGTGGTTTGTTCTATTATACAACTGTAAAAATTTTACTGTTTATCAAAGAAAAAAAGAGATGCCTGTATACATTTTTTTTTAATTAAATATCACAACTGCAGCTAAAGATGCAAAGATTCAATAAGTATAAATTATAACTATACTGAGTTCTATACAGAGAACAAAGTACAGCTTTGTTGCTTATTCCCGATAATTAATTACTGGCATAATTCCACTGGGGCTTTAATAGAACCACTATTTCTTTGCTCAATAAATCACATACTACAGTGATTTTGGTATTATAAGCATCTATTTAACCCTTAACATGCTGAAACGTACCCATTCTTGAAATTATCCATTATAATAATTAGGGTTATGAAGATGAAAATTTGAAGTAAGTCAACAGTATAAAACCTGGTCAGACTGCACAGATGTACCGGCTGGCCTGGCTCAATACTGGTGGCAAAGGCTACTCACTTTCAGTTCCAGCATGTTAAGGGTTCATCATAGACAAGAAGGCATCAAGAAAAGTAATTATGCTGTAGTAAGTATTAATTAAAATGATTTGAATTTTTCATATTGTATTTGTTCAAAGGTATATTGTTCAAAATGTGGATACATTAACAAACTTATTTAGAACATAATTATTTACAGAAAGCTTATCAATAATACATTGTCAAAATCATAATTAAAGCAGATAAAGATTGATACAATTTCTAGGTAAAAGCTATAACTTTATCAAAACCTGAGATGCATCACAGGATGGTTTCTTAATATTGTAGAAAATAGAAAGCTCAAAATGCTAAAAATAATTATGTCAAAATGTGGAAATTTGGATTGTGAAATATAATCTTATTACATGGCATGGGCAGGGGATTTTATCATTGACATCAAATAATTCATAATCATTTTTGTCACCAATTCAATTGCCCCAATTTTCATTATAGAGCTAATCTCTATAATCAGGTTATACCAACCATAAAGAAGGCAATGTATATCTATTTACTATCAACAATGTAAAATTGTTTGCAGACAGAAATCTAACAGACTTTTTCAAAAGGCATTAGGCCCTGCCAATAAAGAATGCTTAAGTTTGGTGAACAAGTTATTAGATTGCAAGCCTATAAATCAATAGATGTAAAAACTAGTCTGCTCTTTCAGATGAGGGTACTAAACTATAACCGAAATGGATTGAATTTTCAGAATAATTCTACGTTTTTATTTCACAAAACTGGCAAAAGTACAACTCAAAAATTTGTTTCAATTTAGCCAACCAACTGAACAGTCATAAAAAAATGTGTAACAGTGGAATCAATTTTAACATTTGAGCCAGACAAAGTGTCTTGAGTTTATTACTTCTTCCAAGATAAAAAATCAGCTCAATGCAGCGAGAAATTCAATATTTGATTTGAATGGCAAAACAAAAGTGCAATTTCAAAAATATCCCAATAAAGATTTTTTCTGATTAAATAATTAAAGTGTTTGCATATGAATTAGCTATTTTCCTTTGTTGCAATAAAAGTGACAGATATGTTTGTTCTACCATTTAAACATTAAAGATAAATTCAATAACACTAAGATTTATATGAAATATGCACAGTGAAGATGGGACAACAATTAAAAATTTACCCATTTTAAAAATCAAATATACAAAATGTACTATTTGACAAAACATAAAACTTCTAAAACTAAAATTATAATAGTATTGATTTTTTCTACCATTATATCTCTCAATTTAAATTTACTGGCTAATTCTAAACTGAAAACTCCAAATGAAAACAAAACCATCATTAAAAGTATATATGTAATTTAACTGTATAGACTGGTGGGAATCTTAATTAGTAAGTAAAAACTACATTTCCTTAAACTCAGCTTCTACAGGCTATAACCAAATGGGAAAATAAGAAGAACCGTAAGGGAAAATAACATATTCAAAGAAAATGACACACTGTAATGGTGTTTTGATCTATAAGTTCTCTTTAAGTGGAAAAGATAATGCATTATGTTATACTATTCTCATAGAAACAAACAACTCAAATTGAGAGACTGTGAGACAAGAGCTGGCAACTTCTAATATACATATGTCTGTTAAATATACATTATATCATTGGTCATCCATCATCTTGTACCCTATAACTGTATAGTAACTGAAGGACAGCTTTTAAATAACTGACTAGTCTATAGAAGTGTTTCTAGAAGGAGGTGTATCTCAATGTAGTCTTTTTTTCTCTCTTATTTTTAATTGCACACAAACACAATTTAGGTCATATGGCAATGAAACTGGATAGATGATTTTGGCTAACCTTAGGTGTTACAAACTTAAAGCAACACCAGGGGGTCAAAACCAGATGCTCGTTTATTAACTCTTTAATCTTATAGGTTTAAACTCCACATTCAGTCATAACAGCAACATTTTCCCTGTATCACACTCAAGCATGATAAAGTTTCTCTTTGTACAAGTGACACATGTATTGAATGTAAAAATTTACATCTATTTTTTTTTCTTGTTACACATACCAAATTGTGCTTCCTCTTTTCTTTGTGGTAATATTTTAATTTGGAATATTTATTTTCCTTCTACAGTAATTCTGTAACACTTACCATTGGAATGTCTTCTAATGTCATTGGTTGTTTGGTTTCCAGGGCAACAGAAAAACAACTGCTTTGACCCTACAAAACAAAACAGAGTAAAATTATCTTTTTACCATTTGCATAAATGTACTTAATACAAAATATAAGTACTATATATCTACCTAGAATGTTATATATAACCCCCTCCCTTTGTCCACCACAAGTAGGGTTGGTCAGGGTATTTAGAGGCTGAAACCATTTTCACATTAATGTAATGGCATCATACAACATGTTTTTTTATTCAAATATCTATCAAATCTGTGCATAAATTACATAATTCTGCAGAATTAAAATAAATTTTCATATTTAACTGTAAAGGTCAAGGTCATGTTTGAATTTTATCACATGATGATTTTGTTATAAGTACTGCTTTGTCCAAGAATTAATCAAATCTTTTAATCAGTTACAATGTTTTGGCCAATTTTATGAAAATATAAAATGACAAGTTTGCAAGGTCAATGTCATTAAAAGGTCAATGTCATACTGTAATTATCCCACAATTTTGTCCTATGTCAGTCCAATTTGAATCAAATCATTCTATTATAATAAAAGTGAAGACATATTGACAAAATTCAATGACTTTTCTTTAATGGTCAAGGTCATTAAAAAAACTAAAGTTGAGATCATACTTAAATTATTACTTACTAAATGGTTTTGTCATAAATCTTTTCATTTTGTCCAAGTATGAATCAAATCAGTCCATTTATAAGAAGGTTTTTGCAATTTAATGATTTGACCTTGATTGTCAAGGCCATAATTTTAAACTAAAGGTATTACTTTAATTACTCACCGGTTTAATTTAATGCGGTGTTTTTTTTAAGTATGCATGAAATCCATACATAAATAACAAAGTTTAATAATGGCCAATGTTTGCAAAACATTAAGGTCAAGGCCATTTAGAAGTTATGGTCAAGTTAAGTTTATCTTTCTTGAAGGTATTTTTCAAATTGTTGTTATGTCCAATTATGAAAACAACACCTCCATTCATAACAAAGGAAAAGCTAAATTTAGCACAATTCACAAAATAGATCTTTAAGGTCAATGTCATTTATGGGTCTTGTCATATGTGTAAGTTGACCTCATGTGCATAAGTTTTGTCCAGATAAATTAAAAGGGTTGAGCAGTTTTGGAGAAGAAGCAAACACAAAACTGTGTCTACAGGCAACCAAAGGGCCAGCCTCACTGTTACAACTTTGTTGTGTAGAGGTGTGGGCGGAAGGGGTGTAAAATCATCCAAAAGCTTCACATGTTTTAAGAATCTTACCTAGAGCAATTGGCATGTATGTACATACATGTATATGATTGTAAACTATATAATGAAGTCAATGATATTTTTACATAAACAAGTGCCAAAGTTACCATGCCATATGGCTTTTAAATCTGGAGCTTATATATGTATAAACCATAAATAACACCTACTGTAGACAGCACTTGGTCGATCCTATTTTCAGATCAGTCAAAGTTAAAAATACTTTCTTCTTCAGTTATTATTCATAAGTCTGTGAAAAGGAAAAGTAATTATTCATTGTCTTTGAAAAGAAACTTACTGGAAACCTTTCTTCTTCTTGGAGAATTTTCTTTCCTATCACCTGAAATATACAATGAATTATTTTGTTTCGTTAATCATACTCAACTAATGAATCCCTTATAATCTATGAAGCATTTCTCCATGAAATAAATGAAGTGTTGCTTTTTCTATTTATTTTTCTGGGAGGGGGTCTTTTATTCTTTATATTACAAGGAAATCAAATCTATTTTTAGCATTAGTGACCTTGACCTTAAAGCAATCAATCTGAATCCCGTACCAATGGTAGAGGTCCAGGAAATGTGTTATCAAGCACAATTTACAAGATATCAGTCCGGATAAATAAAGGCTCTTGCCACATAAGAGGACTCTTTAAACCATTTTGAAGAAATGGAAGTAATAAGCCATTCAAGTACCCATTAGTTAGTGGAAGCACAAAGCACAGGGAAAAGAAAACTCAAATGCTTCAAAGATTTGTCTTAAAATTAGACGATCTAGTCTAGCACCCAACTAAAACTGTAAGACATTTACTCACTTTAGGCCACTTAAAAGCAATTACTACAGAATTACTACAACATACTTCCTTGCTGATTTATTTTGTTTCAAAAGTCCTACCAGTCTATGTAGATAATTTGGTTTATATATTTCCTTGTCTGTGAGACAGCCTTTCAAGTACACCAGACAAAATATATCACCAAAAATAACCACTAATGACTGGCTTTTGAAAGGTTGCATACTACTTTTTTTTGGCAATTATTGCTACAGACAAGTCTGAACTGCAGAATATCTATAAATAATAATAAGTATTCTGGTACTTTGAACATCCTTCATGCAAGCATATCATCACCTTAGTGCAATAACTGGTGAACTCCTATTAAATTTAGTAGGACTTAACCCATTACTGCACTAAGGTAACGATATCTGCACTCAACAGTAATCAATTATTTTTTATACTTCAAGCAATAGATCTACAAGTAATACTTACAAGTAACACTATTTCTAGTATTATTGTTCAAACTGACAGTAACTATACAGCTAAAAATACATTGTACAATTAGTGCATCTTAACAGATATATAAATATTAACATATATGATGGGGTTTTTTGTTTTTTTCCAAACAGGCCCTTCAGCTTCCCTTAAACTTGGGTAAAAATAGTGTAGTATTTTTTTTAAAAGGGGAAGAAATAAATGATGTAAATTGAATTTAAGGGAAAACTGCTTGACTTTTAAGGACTTTCCTAGGGGTGGCATTCACAAAGTCCCCGCTAAAGGAGGTAAACAAAGCCCTGGCATATAATATAAAAGTCAGCCTAATACTTAAAAGATTGACAGTAATGAAAGCTATTATCTTAGTGAAATCACTAATCAGTACCAATTAAAAATGAATATATATTAACATTTTCCTATGTTTACATACTTCACTAAATTACATGTTATGTTTTGTACCTGTTTGTTATAAAACAACTCCTATGTTCATATACAAAATAAATGATATTTTATATGTTTATATACCAGTTATATAACAAATTCTCTGTTGATATACCAAATAAATGATATTTTCTGTATTTATATACCAGTTATATAGCAATTTCTAATTGTAAAAACACAAAATAAATAGCATTTTCTATGCTTATGTGCCAGTTATATAACAATTACTATTTTAACATACCTAATACATAACATTTTCAATATGTTTATATACCAAATAAATAACATTTTCTATGTTTATGCACCAGTTAAATATGCATAAAAAACCTCACTATCAAAACCATCAATATGGTACATTAAAGATAATCAGTATAAAATTTCTATTTATAGGAAAGTACCATTAATCTCACATACCGTATAAAAAAATGAGGTTACAGGAAAAACTAACATTGTAATCATCTAAATTAGTGTGATGGGTAAATTACTGTGACAGCTTCCCTAGGTGACAACTCTAATCACCCAGCATGGAATAAAAAAAAACACCAGCAGTCGCACATTAATGGTTAGTCTCAGAGAAATTCTCCATCAATAGCAGCTTTTTTTTTATTCTTTCCTTTTTATTTTCTTTTGTGTTTTTATAATACTTTGTTGTTGATGTTTCTATTACAGATGTTGCAAGTACCGCTTAAACATTGAATATCTTACACTAAACAATAAGCTTTAGATTGGAACTCCTTTCTCATGACAATTACGTTTTCATCCTGTCATTTTAGTTTTCATTTTCCATTTATTGAAATATTACACAGATTTTTTTCTTTTGGCTATAATTCCTTAAAAAGTGCAAAAGCACTCTATTGTTGCTTCCAAGTTTTTTTTGTGCCGAGACTCAAACCAATTGCCCCTGACTACAAACACCACTTACTTGACAAAAGAGTTCTTGAGTTTCTGGTACGACAAGATACAGGAATGCACATTCTGCCTGAGTTTGTTCTTCCAGCTAAAATATGTAAAAAAATTGCAATAAATTACTAGTGTTTCCTCGTTTTTGTACATACATTCTCCTGGGGAAAAGAATTATCAATATGCTCTGCAGAAATTCAAGGAAATTACATTTCAAAAATATGATTATTGCCAATATCTCACTGAGAAGGTGCCTGTATTTACAAAACTAGCAGATTAAACATAATTTGTTTTTATCAAATCTCATCAACAGGGACCATGCAATTTGTGGCAGTTATTATTAGTGTTGGAAAAGTTTCATGAAAATCTGCCAATCTTTTCTTTCATGCACAGATGTCCACTTCATCGTAGATAAAGATTATGATATTGAGTCTATAGTCAGCAACATTTTGCCAAATTTCTCCATTTATCGATCAATATACAATAACAATTACACAGTAAGTCATTACTTTTTAGGGTGTGACTTATTTTCTTCATGCATTGTGTAGTTCATTAATATTAAATCTAATATTTAACCCTTAAACCTGCTGGGAATAAAAATTCCCTTGGCCTTTGCCAATTCAGTAGAATTTAAAAGGCAGGCCAGGTTTTTTACCATCGTGAATTCCCCTTTTACCACCCGGAAAAAATTGTTATTCTTGTTGGGGGTGATAAAAAAATCTTGAAAAATTGTTAAACAAAACAGTATTTTTAAATAGGAAAAAAAAGGGGAAGGAATGTATTTTAAGGAAATTAAAAAAAAGGAGATAAACCAGTTACAAACCTTAAAAAGATTTTTTTACAATTTAATTTTAAACTTTTTTTCTCTTTATCTTCTGGGCATTAACCTTTTATATTTTTAAATATACAAATGTTATTTTAATTTACATTACTTAAAATGTTTTTACATTTTTTACTTAACATGTAATAAAATTAAAGTTAATCCCAAGAACCACAATTTAAAAAAGTGTAGAAAAAATGTTTGTCATATAAATTTTGTAAAAAAAATTAATTCTAGTCAAAATTTATCCTGAAAATACACATAAACATTTCAATAAATTTTGTTATTGTTACAAGATACCAGCAACCACATAATAGTAAAAGAAAATTTTCAAAATAATTCAATTTCGAAACCTCAAATGGGGGAAATTAAAATACTATTATATGTTTTATGGAGGAAAGGCATTATAATTCTGTGGTATTTCCATGAGGGCAACAAATAGTAAATGCAGAGAACAATTTTAACTCAGCAGCTGCCTATTTGCACAATTTGCAATCTTACTTGCAACAAAAAAAAATGAATTTAAAATTTTGAGAAAACAAATCTTGTGTCACACTGAAACTGTAAAATCAATAAGATAGCACCATTGAGAATATTACATTTTCAAATTACTGTCAAAAGCATATCAGAAATTGTGTTGCAGAAAACAAAAATCTCAAGAAAAATATTGTTTCTATGCTGAAGTTTGCCTCTTCTTTCGATATTTTATGAAGTCATGTATATAAATGTATAAGCTACAGTAACTAAATACAAATTTCGCTAGAATAATTTGAATGTAATTATTAAAGTCTCCTTTATTGATCATAATTATATTGCCTATAAATATTAAAGGCCCATTATGCTTCAGAAATGCTTTTATTTTTATTTCTCAAAAACTTTTTTAATTTTGGTGTTTTCTTTATTATAAGTACTGGGATCCTACATGTTTACCGGACAATCAGTTTACCGGACAAAATCTATTCCTGTCAAATAAGGCTTTAACTTTGCTTCGATTAAAAAAATCATCCGGTCCTAATCGTACAAACACTTTCTATTTCAAAGTAAATAACAACAAAACCACTCTCAGGTTAATTTTGTTGATTCAGTTCTTTATTTACTAACATGCCCTTATGTTAACTAGTTATTCCATGACCTGGTCATGCGGGGGAATAATCTGTTCTGCGCATTCCCGAATATTGAGGCCCTTAATGGGTTATTTTAGATAAACTTCACTTTTAATTCTTCTCAACGTTATCTCAGGAGACAATTGTAACATATTTTACTGATAAAAAGTAATTTTAAATTTCGTTCAAACAATATCTCGTTGTTGTCTTTTACAAAGAAATGCAAATTAAAAAAAATATACGGAAACGGGTTACGCCCATGGGAGGAAACTCTACATGGAATGTACAAAAAATAGACTTTATGGCTTTTGCAACATGCTACATGATGACCAAAAGGAAACTGTATGAGAAAGAACAGAATTACATTTGAATATCAAAATGTGTCATACGTTTAAGGATCATTTTAAGGATCATGAAGAATCAATACGTTAATTGAGTTAATAGTGTTAATTTCAATTACACCCCTACATTGGCCTCTTCTTAACAAGCATGACTGCCCGTGTCTATTTTAGTGACATACTGGGTTTTTCCAGCATCTTAACTTTGCCATTCAATAGTCGTAGTTTCCTTTCTTAGTTTCAATTTAAGACTTCAAAAAATTTTGAAACACAATGTCCGGTAAATTGAGTTGTTTACACGATTTTTCCCTCTTTTAAGGCCCTACTTTAAAGACACTTTTCTACGGTTAAATGTATAATTTTATGTTTGATAAAGAAATGCTTACGTATATTAAGAACTCACAATTATTTGGGTAAAATTTCATTCTTTTTTATTATTTTAAATAAAAGTTACAGCGAAAAAACATCATATTTTGTCCGGTAATATGTAGGATCCCAGTATCAAAAAAGATGCTCAATGACCAATTACACTTGAACCATCTTTTTATCTGATGCTTTTTTGAAATAAGTATAGTTTTGTATGGAACTCAAAATATTACTTTGTTTTCATTTTGCTAATTTTATGGCAAATTATCTCATATTTATGGTAAAAATCATTTAACATTCTCTAAAAAAAACATTATTTAAACATTATAAAATACATGTTCCCTTCCTAAAGAAGTAAATATTTATTAGTTTCTTAGCCATAATGTGCCTTTAAAGATTCTACTAGTTATTAAAGTGAGGCCAGCTTGAATATTTAATTACGGCAGTCTGAGCATGCTGACACTGCTTAATTCTACTTAAATTATGCACAAAAATCATTAACAAGGCTTCCATTACAGTCAGTACGCCTAAGAAGAAACCTGTAATGTCTGCAGGCAAATTTTCTGTAATAATCTTGTCCTTCAATAATTTGGAACTGGCATGTTGTATTTTTTCTTTCTTTCCAGCCTTTCAAATTTAATATATCAATATCAAATTATAAATTCCTTCAACCTTGCTTCTTGCAAACATATAGCAAGCAAGCGCTACAGAAAGATATTCCATTTATAGCTCATATCTTTGAAAGTCTTCATAAAAGTAGATTGTAGTATTCAAAAGAAGCCAAACAAAGTTTATAGGAGTGAGTTATCAAATATTTCCACACTCTTGAATATAATGAGAGGAGGGTCTCTATTTGTAACATATTCTAGCTACTTCATCTCAGTTTAATTAACTGCAGATCTTTCACCAGACATGTCATTAATTCAGTTGACTGATAATTTCTAATGGTTCTTTCATGTTCTCCCTAACTTTTACATATCAACATTTACCTGCTTTTATAATGCTTTATATAAAGACATTGACTGCTCTTTCAGAAAACAACCATCAAAAACATGAAAAACAGTTTAAGTTTCAATTAACAGATTGGTTTAATTGGAAAAAAACTTAATGGCATTACAATGCAATTACAAGTTATAGATTACCGTAAACAATGGTACAGTAAACAATGGCAAGCTGAGTATTTCAAAGGCATTCAAGTTTATACTATGATAAATTTGTTTAAAGGAATTGTTTGAAGGTGTCAAAGCCCATTATCAGTTAATGATTTAACTATCACATTAAATAATCATTGGACACAGTTGAGTTTGGTCAGATTGTAATAATGGCAAGCAAAGGTTGGCTGGGAATATAAAGATCACTTTTATATTTCTAACTGAACACAGTAGAGATTGTATATTTGTTTGGTTTATATAGCAAATATAACACATTTGGGTCCAATCGGTCAACAGTGACCGACTTCTAATAGTAAATGATTTCGACTGTATCATCATTGAGAGATGAATGATGATCCCAGACGTATTTTCTGGTCTCTCAAGGATCGAGCCAACGACCCCTGGATTACAAATCAGATGCTCTGCCTATTTAGCCTTATGGGCGGCCACACATTAGAGATAAACAAAATTGAGTAATATCAAGGCTATAGATATTAAATACTTACAATCCATTCTCAGGTCTAATATCAGAGAATATATTTATGGCAAATTATAAAAGGAACATAAAAGAGACTAGACCATGACTTTAACTTTTCTTCTGATTTATGATAAAAACTTCAAAAACCTGTAATTATACATGAATCATTAGGTTGGTAGAGTAACTCTTTGATCTAAAGCGTCTGACGTAATTTCAGAAATTTCAGCACAGAAAAGTAATGATGAAAGATATATCATATTATTTAGATGTTTGAATTTTAGTAACCACACTTGTAAAGAAATGCTAGAAGATAGCTCCAGCTTTCAAAACAACCTTGTATATAGTAAATAGAAAACAGTTTGTTTCTTTATTTTGGAAATTTTATTCTTTTAATATAAATATTAGTTAGGGAAATAAGGAAAAAGGTTATTTTCTTTTGTAGCTAATAAAAGCAATTCAATTTGTCTACTGAACTCTAAGCATATGACTTTTAGCATTACAGAACTAGGGCTGTGGCGAGTGTCCGAGTACTCGTATATTAACAAATCAAAAATCGAGTACAAATATTCGTTAGTCAAAGGTCATGGATCGCGATCTTATTTGGTTATATACATTCACTGTTTCTCAAACTCTAAAAGTCACAAAAAAATTACAATTCGAGTATGAATTATGCGACATTTACCTAAATACAATTTGCCGATTTAAGACAGAAAGTAAACAAACAAGTACCATGATTTTACTTTGTGACTCAATCTCTATAGACATAAATTGATCTAGAATAAAATGATCTACAAAAACTTCATGCTTACATATCTAAGGACTTTCAGTTGGAGCTGGGCTGCATCTTGATCATATAATTCACCTGAAAGTAGAAAAAGATTGTCATAATTAGAAAATTACAAACCTTAACCACCCCTGAATTGCTAAAATGGACCTCTCCTGCTTTGAATTGGGACTTTTCATTATAAGCTTAAGGGGCCTCCCCTCTCATCAAGTAGGGTTTCATATTGCTTTGAATAAAGGTCAAGGTAACTGCAGTTGAAAATAAGACTTTGCTACTTTTCCACATAGTTAAATGCCTTATAAATGCAACATCAGGGATCGATTCAATCAGTGTAACCAATATTAAATATTGTCTTTAACAGGAATACAAAATGAATACATAAAAGATCATGCCACCAGAGAGCTAAGCATTGATATTCGACCATCGGTTTTCATTACATCTTTTCTTTCACTCACGTCATAATTTCCTCATCACAGTTCAATGATGTAATGATAAAATAACTCTGCCTCAGCTTGTAATTGATTTCTGTTTTTCAGAAAAATTTCCTCAATAATTCTCTAGGGGCGAAATTTTCTCAAACTGTTACATGTTCAAAATTCAAAGGAAATTTGCAACACTCAAAAAATGTGATAAATTGAAAATTTTGTCTGACTCCAATTTCATTTTAAGACGTCAATATTCTGCAGATTTTCAAGTTGTTTTTTTTTCTCTTCTTTAAATACAGTACTGCATTTTATCTTGGAATCAAATTACAATCAAATGTCTCTGCAGGTTTCAATACTGACAAAGTTAATAGCAAATAAACAAGGGTGAAGGGAGGAGTCATTCAAAAACAAAGAAATGAGCCGCGTCACGACAAAACCAACATAATGGGTTTGCGACCAGCATGGATCCAGACCAGCCTGCGCATCCGCGCAGTCTGATCAGGATCCATGCTGTTCGCTATCAGTGTCTCTACTTATTATAGGGCTTGTAAGCGAACAGCATGGATCCTGATCAGACTGCGCGGATGCGCAGGCTGGTCTGGATCCATGCTGGTCGCAAACCCATTATGTTGGTTTTGTCATGGCACGGCTCAAATTATATTCTATTTAAATCATATGACTTCATTGAAGAGATCTTTCCCAAGAAAATCAATACATTTCACCCTTTTCAATTTTAAAAATTAAGAAAAATAAATTTTCAAATAAGAATTTATTAGGGATGTCCAGTCAACAACATGGTCCAGGCTCCCATTTCACAATTATATTACATGTTACATAGATTATTATAAACTTTTCTTTGTCATTGACAGCCATACATACCTAATACAAAGAAGCAAACACCACAAAGAATCAAACAAAATGTTTTGAAATTTGGGGAATTATCAAGAATCAAATGGGTACAGTGCAGTCTCTGCAAAGTGGCCCTTTGTACAGCAATATCCTGTTTATAACATAAGTACCAATTATTTCAGAATGTTACAATATTTTTTCTCCTCTCCTAAGAGCACACCAGTCTCAGCAACAGCCAAAATATTCTCTACCAACAAAGGGTCAACCACTGCAGAGCTTACACTGTATTTTCAACAAACTGAAAAAGCACCTCTTGTTTCACTTATAAAAAGAATCACTGTATTCTTATTTATCATAAATAATTCCTATCACATCAACCAAGCAAAACCTTATGAGCATCTACTACCCCCATTTCACAAAGTAATGGAAATTCTAAGCTAAACATAAACATACTAATGAACTTTCTAATAATGAACTATGTCTGACAACAACATCAAGTCTTAGCTAGTTATACAGACTAGTGGTCTGAGACCTTAATTTGCCTTAAATTACATTAAATTAAACAATCACTGTTGTTTGAGTACTGAGGCTATTTTTAAAATAGCTCATATAATTATCTACAAAGTCCTTTTGGCAGTTTAGTGTTTGAAATATTAATAATAGTCAATACATTATTCCTATAAATCATTACATTTATTACCTGATGAAGGTTGTTGTTCAGAATAATAAATATAGTTAAAACTTGATGTTAGTTCCTCTTTATTCTTTTTTGTATTTATCATTACATTTATTCTAAAATTACATAAAGAAGTGGTGATAGCTTGCTTTTACAAAGCCTCTTGTTTTAATTGCAATACTTTTTTTTCATACAGATTAAATAAATCATATGAAATTCCATAAGTTTAAACATTAAAATTAATAAGTAATAGCTCTGACTATTGTTAAACAACATTCATGAATGTAATGTATTGACATCATGGCTGTAAAATCTAGAGATACTGACAATATTACATGAATAGAATATATTATATAGTATTACATTCAATTCACCATTAATGAATTTTTTTGATCATATTATCTGCTTAGGAACAACAACAACAAACACTAGGAAATATTGAAGTTATTGAACTCAGTAAAGGTTATTTAGAGGCCACGCATGATCACAGTTCATTTTTACAAGCAAGCTGGTACAAAAAGATCAAGCAATATTAGATTTTCATACTGATGTGATATGAACATTTTTCATAAATAATGCAGCAAGCTGTTTCTCAGAGATGCAAGTTCTTCTCCTATGTGAATAATTAATACAGTTGTTGTTGTTTTTGTTTAAAAGGCATATGCTAAAGTGAATTTTCATGAACAGAATATAATAGACTCTGACTAATATAATAGAATTTATTTAAACTTGCAAATTTTCTTTTTTAAAATGGAGGCAGAATATAGGCCTTTTACCCAAATGACATAACAGTTGAATGTTCAAATTTCAGTTTTGAAAAAAAAATCACATTTTTTTTTACGACAAATAGTAGATTTTCATGAAAAAGATGAGTGTATCATCATTTTTTCATTTTTTTTACATAGCACCAACACAGTACAGGTCATTAGGAACACCTCAGGTGCCCTTCTGTGCGTTAAAAGACACAAACTGGTATCTGAGTTCTATAAGATGGCTGAAAAGATGAATGATCTATTTTAATAAATTTATTTTTTAAAAATCTCAATATTGTTGTACATATATATATACTAAAATTACATAAACAGCAAGTTTTAAATTAAAAGGCATGAGAGTATTGAAAATATGAAGTAAAACAATCACTGGCATATAGACATTTTGTAAAGCAGTATATACATATCGTGGGCTTAGCGCAAAACGGTTGTAACTCACTTTTTTCCACAAAATAACATTTTTAACATTTTCAATGTGTTTTGTGGTTATGCATATCCTCAGTAAGTATTTTAAATGGATTCTGAAAATTAACAAGTTAAATCAATATTTGTCAAAAGGTTGTATCTCAAATTGCTCTTAATTTTCAGCGCAAAAGGGTTGTATCTCAAGTTACAACCTTTTTGCGCTGAAAATTCTGATAGTGCAATGGAAGTAAATTAGCATTCTGTTTGTCTTATTGGAATCATCACATGAAAAGGAGGATTTAAAGACAGTAGAAAAGATTTTTTGTTTTAATATATCTAAATAAACCTTAAATATTGGTAAAAAATCCAACTAAATTGTGATTTTATATTATCTTCATGAAATTCTTAAATGTATATTACACTATAGTTTAATCTCATAAATTAATTCCAATAAATGAAAATATCCACTGCCACAATCAGCAATTGTTTGATATTAAGTAAATGAAATAACTTTCAAATATATATTGAAGGACAAATGTCCATATTCCCCCCCCCCCACCTACCTCAAAAACACAAACAGTTTATAAAATAACAAGGTGGACAGATTTAGCCCCTGAAGGGTCGAAAATTAGCGCCACACTTATTTTTACAGGGCAGACAAACGTTTCCATATTTTGAAAAATAATGCAAGTACATGTAGATTTAATTCAGAGTATCTTCAGTTTATGCTCATAGTAGCAAAACTTAAATTGTTGCAGGCACAAAGTCTGTTCATGGAAGGTATGTCAAGGCTACCTAGCTCAGACCCATAATGCTTCAGAAATGCTTTTATTTTTATTTCTCAAAAGCTTCTAAATTTTGGTGTTCTTATCAAGAAAGTTACTCATGGCAAATTACCTGAACAATCTTTTTCATCTTTTGCAATTTTGAAAGAAGTACAGTTACAGTGAATTAGTATTCTTTTTGGAAGTCAATACTGCCAGTGCTTTGATTACATTTTGCTACTTTTATGACAAATTATATTACATTGATCACCATTTTCTTGTTGTACAAGCATCTTACATTCTCAAAAACCATATTATTAATTTATTATTGTGAATGGCTTAGAAAACTACTATAGTATATCATAAAGGTATAATTAAAGATAAAAGAACGGAAGGGGATATGGGACCAAATTGAAGGGAGGGAGGTGGGGTGTAATCTCCAACTATACAGACTAAAGACACACTTTAAAATACAATGAGGAAAAACTGAGAAGGGAATGGACAAAGTGGCAGGAACCAAGACCATTGTTAAAATCCCCAACAACCATGAAGCAAATGACATACTTAAAAAGGAACAATAGAATGACACTGCCTTGAAACATGGAAATAGCAAAAACATAGCTTAAGAGTTTATAATATGAAGTCTTTTAAAAGCTTCTATCCACATACAATGTAGAATTTACCTAAAAGAAGTCCATATTAAACTCTATATCACAAATTCTGGGTAAGACCAAATTTGAAGAGGACCATGTTTAAATATTATAAACATCCAGTTTTAATTCCGTAATTAGTTTGTTATGACAATCTATGAAGTCTGTAACCCTTGACATGTTGGAACAGAAAATGATAAGTTCTTGCCACAAGTATAGATCCAGGCCAGCCTGAACACCTGTGCACTCAGTTCAGGTTCTGTACTGTAGACAGCTCAATTTTAGTTCCTGTATATTGATTGATTGATTTGATTGACTTTTCCAAATACAAAGCAGGGCAAATCCATTACAGACATTCAGCAGTTTATTTTTATAAACAAATTGTTCACTAACAGACAGACAGGGGTATGTTTTTTTTTTCCAACAATATTGACCATGCACTCTTCATTTGACCCCCTAGCCAGTAAATTCCGTAAACTTTTGATCTACTTTAAAATCTTAATGAATGTTTATATAATACTGCATGTTTGTAACATCGC